AATGGCACGTGGGGGCCAGAGAGGACGTTGGGGTGAGCACTGGCTTTTGAACACTTAGGGCCCAAGTTCATTACCAGCTGAATCCTTTGAAAGACCATGTTGTGCCCACTCTTGTTTGTTCTCCCCCAATTATTTCTTGACCATTTGCACATATACCTTGCCTCCTTCTCTGGGGCCCGTTCTCCTGCATTAACCCTGCCTGCTTTATGTCCACCTTGGGGCTGGGAGCTTGGCCACCACAACTTGATTGATTCATGGACTGCTCGTCCAGAAAAGATCCCTTGTAAAATATTGGAGTTCATTAATAAAATGGCTCCTCTGTATTTTAATGTGGGGACAACTTGAAAGATATTTTCAACCCTCTCTGGAAGCATCTGCTATAAAAGAACATGAACGAATTACCCAATATCCTAGGTTAGAAATCTATCTATCATCTGTTTTTGTTACACCAACTAAAAGCTCTGATTGAATCTCTAGGTCAACCTAATTCATAAAATCAAGACACAAATTTACAATGCAATGTTTTGGCTGGTCAAATCTTGAGGTAAGACTCTTCATGAAGATTGGTCAGGAACTCATTTGTCCTAAACTTTATAGTGTCTTATTGAAGGTTACCCAGAAACCTTGAACTAAGTTCACAGGATCAAATAATTTTGTCATMGGGGCCACCTTAGAGGTCCTTGGGATGTGCTCAGAGCTGACACTCCTTGTCTGATCCCATCTCTTAACAGTGACCTATTGATGTGTCTGTCCCCAACCCCACACACCAGCTCCGGACCAGGAGGCTCTGGTGTTGGGGAGCTGGTTCTTCCGCAGCCTCGTGGCACACCCCAGCTCCCAGCAGAGTGCCTACCCGCAGGACAGTTCCCTAAATAGCTACTGAATGCAGAGAGTATGAATAAAGGACCACTTTTCTTTTTGAACAGGTGGAGAGACTGAAATTCGGAGAAGGGAAGGGACCTACCCTGGTTTCACCGCAAGGCGGTGGGGTGACCAAGAGGATGTCCTGGCCCCTGGTGAAGGTTCTCTACTAAACCTCTCGGGCTCCCACCCAGTATAGACACTTCTCTCATTTCCCCCAAAAGCCACAGGTACAGGTGTTTATGGTTTGACCACTATCACCAGAGCCACAGGCACTTCAGTAGGTCACAGTGTGACCCCATCAGCCCACTTTWAAAAAAAAATATTTATTTTTTAGTTTTAGGTGGAACAATATCTTTATTTTATTTCCATGTGGTGCCGAGAATCAAACCCAGTGCCTCACACATGCTAGGCAAGCATGCTACCACTTGAGCCACATYCCCAGCCCCTGCCCACTTTTTTAAACAGTGTTGACGATCAGGCTTTCTAATATAATTGGAAAAACTCTCAGCACCTGCATGCCAAGGACATTGTAAACTGAGCCCAAGTTCAGGCAATGAAACGCAGACCCTTCTAACTGTCACCTGTGCTGTAGTATTTCCAAAGACTGTACTCAATAATAAATTTTTCATGTTTGTGCAAAGCGTGTTCTTGCTTGGTAGAGCATTTTCATAGACGCTCAGATGCTTGAACAAATGCTTCCAAAACAACATTATGTTCTTTCAGAATAAGTTAGTGGCTGTACCGCTAAAATAGGTGAATTTATCATGTGTGAACTACACTTCAGTAAAGCTGATAGAGTGGACTACAGGGAGACCTTCCATGGGGTTCCCTGGCCTTTGTGTGGTCTCCTTTGACAGCTAGGTTTTAAGATACAGCTGAGGAGAGGTCAACAGGGTGTCCTGATACGCTGTTGAGTGTGACCCTGGGAAATCACTCCAGCACCCTGAGAATTGGCTCCCAGCACTCTGAGAATTGTGACAAGACTCAGGAGGGTCACCAATGCCAGACATGAGAGGACATTGTGACCCCTGTATCCAAAACATCCTCTGCACCACACTGTCATTGTCTCCCAGCTTCTCTCAACTTTAAGAAGACCAAACAGTTCAAACACACAGAAAATAGATGAAAAGTTGGAGAGTAGGGAAGGAAAAGGGTCAGGGGGAACAACTACGGATCAGCCACACAACTGGGTCAAATCTTTTTTTTTTAGTTTTCGGCGCACCCGGGCCGCACGCATGCCAGGCGAGCGTGCTACCGCTTGAGCCACATCCCCAGCCCCTGGGTCAAATCTTGACACTCTGTTCTATTTACTTCAGACCTCTCTTTTTCTCTCTCCTAAGGAATAAAACATTACAGATAACATTAGATTCTCTATGTGCTTCTTCCTCATCTCATTCCCATTCCTCCCTTCTAAACTTGGTGTCTTTCATTTCCCTTGCAAGTTTCAGTACTTCTACATGCTACCTGACTGTATCATAAAACACAGGCAACATAGTTGCACATGTTTAAAAAGACTTTTTTGAACCACACTGTACCTACTACAACTCGATGTTCCTTTTCCCCTAAGTGTATCTATGTTAAGGTTTGTAACCTTGGTTAAACAATATACCAGGAGCCTTAGTTTTGTTCCCAGTATATAATTCTATTGTATGAATTTATTCATCTGGACTGCCACTGATAAGACACCCAGTTTCTAAATTTTTACTGTTATATGCTGAGTGAAGCCATTCTGTTGTAGATGTGAGCATCTTCAACTTTTTTAGATGTTGCCAAAATGTTGTCTAAAGTCATTGTGCCAATTACATCTCCACCACAGGAGTATGAGGGTCCAGACGTCCCACATCCACCCCCATGCCCCCAAATTGACAAACTTTACTCTTTTCCAGTCTGATGGATGTGAAGTGGTGTAACATGGTTCTTTTCATTTGCATCTCTTACAAGATCAATGAGGTTGAACATCTTTTCTTATTTTTGGCTACTCAGGCCATTGAGACTTCCTCTTTTGTGAATTACCTGTTGGTGCCCTTCACCCAATTWAAAAAAAAAAAAGTTGGACATTTTGTCAGCTCATTAAACTTCCTCCACCTGGAATATCCACCTCCCTATTTCTACATCCTATCTTCTAAATGTCACCTCCATAAAATAACCTCTAAACGACCACAAATGACAATCTACCTTTCTTGTGGCATTGTAATTTCCTGTCTTGTAGTTGTAACAACTTCTCATTTTACAGACAGCTTTGTAGTTTACCAAAGCACCTGCTCCTTCATTATCCTATTTTAACTTTTATCTAGACAATGGCCCTGGGAGATGAGGTAGTATTGTTACCACCTTAGAACAGATAAGGAACCCGTGTCAACAAGGACTAAGTCKCCCAAGACCTTATACTGGCTCAGAAGCAGAGGCGGGCTCAGAGCTGAGACTCCCCCAGTTTCATGTTCGGGTCACTGCACACATCCCTTTTAATTATATACATGTGTTGATGCCACCTGCTTGTTCACTGACTCACTCATGAGACTGTGGGCCTCTTGTCTGCTGTTCCCTCGTAAGCCCCCAGCCCCTAGTTCTAGCTCCACACAGGGAGCATCAGTGAGTACAGAATTCTTGAGAAAGTACAATGTTCACCTTCTGTACACCCACGAGGTGCCCCCAGCTCTGCATGCATAAACTAACTTTCCCAACAACTCTGAAAACAGGTTTACCAGTTGAAGGGACAATCAGGGCTCCACAGCCAGTATAGGCGGAGCTGTTCTATGAACCTCAGAGGGACACACTTCCCCGACAGTCCTAGAGGCAGACCTGGCCAATTCAGAAGCTGATGGAAGTGTCCTACTTGAATCTTTAGTCCTGCCCCAGTTGGACACATGTTCTCTCTGTAGAATGTGGGTAACAAGCACATTCCTACGGGCCCCTTTGGGACTTGCAGACTTACTCTCCAGGACGGGAGACCCAGGCTTCAGCAGAAGGGAGGCAGGTTCTGTGTTGGCCCAAGGAGCCAGAATGGGGTAGTAAGACAGAAGGGCAGCAAGCCCCCCGGAGTGGAAAAAGTGAGGGAGTGCCCCAGAGGACTCGGGATGAAGAAGTGGGTGGGGGCGGAGGCGATAGGCCTGCAGGCTGTACTGACCACACCCCAAAGAGGCAGAGGACAAGGGTGAACATGAGCAGGGAAGGGGCTCTTCGGGGAAGGTGCTGTCCACCGGCCACACCCATGAAGGCGCACACTCCCCCAGCCTCCTGATGGTGTCTGCAGAATGTGATGGCAGCAGGTGAGATGGGCAAGGGGAGCTAATGGCGGGGATGCAGGTGAGGATTTGTTGCCCAGGGTTCTTTCCAGTCCTGCCCCTAAGAGTGAGTCTGGTTGGGGACATGTCTGACTTTTCCCCAGAGGACTGGGTCCTTATCTGTTGCAGCTTTGCCCATTGCCTCAATCTGCTGTCCCGAGACTGTGTTGTCTTTCATTGTGTGTCATTTTATTACAGGTCCCATTTGTGTATGCGGCATGTGCCATTGTATCTGTGATCKTGTCTGTGCACGTGTGTGCGCAGTTTGCTGTGTCTGCCTTCTCACTGTGCTGAGGCTGGGTGCCTGCTAGGCTTGCCTCACGTGCACGTTCTTCTGGGTCTAGGCTGGGCCCTGCACCTCTCCTGTGTGTCTGTGTCTATGCACCGAGTGTACAGTAATCCGCTTCACTGTGTGTGTCGTGTAAACGGTGAGCTGGCTGGGCTGTGCACTGCTGCGGGTCTGTCTGGGCGAATCTCTGGGCTGTAAAGTGCAAGGTGCTGGGCGACCGGTTCGGGTTGTTCTGGGGCTGAGCTCCACCCGGCGTCCGCGCTGCCTGCCGCGTGTCTCCTAAGCTGCGCGCCGGCTCTGAGCCCGGAGCGGTGTTTCCTGCACTGGGAGCCGGCTGCGCCCCGCGCGGCTCCTGGGGTGTGCGGCGGGTGACCCGCCTCCGCCGTGGGACCGAGTCCGGAGCGGGCTCTGCGCGTCTGCGCCCGCGCGGGCGGCGGCCCGGGGGCGGGGGCGGGGGCGGGCGGCGCTGCGGGGCCCCGCGGCCGCGGGCTCCAATAGCGAGGCCCGCGCGGCCACTGCTAATTACATAAGCGGGACGTCAATAATTCGCGGGAAAACGCGAAAAAGATGGCGCCCCGCGCCCGGGGGGCCCCTTCCTGAGCGCCCGGGCCCCTCCCTCCCCCGCCTCCCCTCCTCCCCGCGGCGCCCCCGCCCCGCCCCGCCCCCGCCGAGACCCCGACCCCGGCCCCACGGGCGGACACTCGGCCAGGCAGCCGCGGGCCGAGCGCAGCCGCCTCCGCCGCCGATGCGCCTGGTGGCCAGACTCCAAGTGGGACCGGCGGACACGCAGCCTCGCGGTAAGTTCGGGCAGCCGGCCCCGGCCGGGGACTCCCCGCGACTCGCTCCTCTCCCTGCCCACGTCCCTCTCTTTCCGAAACCTCTCTGAACTTTGGCGGGTCGAACGCCCTCAGGGGGTTGGAGTCCCGCGGAGCCGCGCAACTGGGGGATGGGATAGGGAGTGAGTGGAGCTCGCAGGGCAGCGGGAAGCCCATCCAGGTCTCGGAGCCGTGGGGGGCGTGGGTGACAGGTCGCTGTTCCTTGTCCCCAAACTTCTCCTTTCCTGTTAGTGAGGGTGGAGGGAGGACCGACAGGGCATTTGGGATTTTGCTCACGTCCGAAGTCAGGTTGCGGCGGGTGGGGACGGGGGAGGTTTGGCGTCGGAGCCAAGGAGGAGAGGAGCTCTCGCGCCCGAAGGGGGCACTTCTGCAAGTTTCCCCTCCTGAACACCCTTTTAAAAAAGCCAACGGCCGCCCTGGGAGAGGCCCCGGCGCATGAATCATCCTCGCTTCCTGCCCCCGCCCGGCCCCGCGCTCCGGGTGCCGCGGATTTGAACTGGACGCCGACGGGAACCCGCAAACAGGCATTTCTTTGCAGATGGGTTTGAATCAGCCAATCACAGACCGCGGGGGCCCACTCCGGGAGGATGGAGGCGGGGGTGGGGGCCGCCACCCGGGGGCCCCCGCCGGGTCGGGAGGGGGGCGCGGCCACCGGGCCAGCTCCCAAAGGCGCAGCGGGGAGGAAGTGTCAGTTTGTGAACCTGCTGCGGCCTGGCCCTGGCCGGCCACAAGCCAAGCGGGCGGGGACCTCGCAGCGCCCGGGGAGCCAGGTGGCAGGGAGAAGGCAGGGGTTCCGATGGCACCCTCGGCCCCGGTGCCTGTGTGCTCTGCCCTGAAAAAAAAAAAGAGGAACAGGCGCCGTGAATGGGGACGTGGCCACCCACCTCTGGGAAGCCAAGACCCCTGCAGTGCCCTTCCTGTCCCAGGGCTCCTCACATCACACACATGTATTTACTTTCACACACTTACGTGCACACTACAACGACATTATGGTACCAGTCTCACCGGAGTACATACACACACACACACACACACACACGCACATGGAAACTGGCACCGGACTCATCCTTGTCAGCCGAGAGTCATGACACCAGCTGCCTAGCAGTCGCAGGGGGAGGGGACCAGAGTAGGAGGTGCAGGGAACAGGCAAGGCTGTGTGTGGCTGTGGTGGGGAGTGTATGGAGGGGCATGGAGCCAGGGGAGGCTGGAGAGGGGAGGAGGGGGCAGTGAACACCAGTGAAGGCATTAGGGAGTCACARGTTTTCTGGAAAAGTCTAGTGGAGAGGCAGGAAAGCAGGAGTGGGGACTCTTGGTGGTGCCATTGCCCATCCTGTGTGCCTAGCATAGGTGAGCCCCAGGCTCAGGTAACAGGTATCCAAAGGGTGATGAATGGCTCAAGAAAAGACCAGGCTTGAACTCAGACCAGGACAGAAGGATGGAAAAGAGAGCATAGATGCTAGAATTCATTGTGCCCAAAGTAGACCAKGACCTGTGACAGTTCCTTGGTTTKGGGGCTTCTGGGTGGCCATGGTAGCACCATTAGCAGACAGAAAGAAGGCAAAGGGTAACAGCATGGTGATAGGCTGACACGGGGGTGACTTAACTCTTGGAGCGAAGGTACAACAAGGGTAAAAGCACTGGCAGGTTTAAATCTCACAGAATTGGTTTCCATTAAATCAGTCCATAATTGAGAACAGAAAAGCAGATTATAAGAGACATAGATGGCCAAGTCACAAGCGACCCATGAGTTTTCCTTCCTAGTTGTTTTCTCTGGATGGATCTCAAGGTAGACTTGGGAGGGGGTGTGTGTGAAAAYTTCCCAGGTGCTCCCTTGGAAAAGGTCCTGGACCTGGAGAACATGGAGTACTTTTGCTTAAGGGATAATAAATGCCTTGCCTCCTAGGTCAGAGAGTGCAGGTCAGGCTCATTGGGGCTTTGCTCTGTGTTAATTGAGAGACTCATTTTCTTTTAAAACAGCATGGTATAGGCAAGTGAGCAGGACTTAGAATCAGCTCACTTGATTATAAACCAGAGTTCTGCCTCTGGCCATCACCCACTTCTTGTCACAATTCAGTTCCCTAACTGCAAAATGGGARTAATAATGTCTCCCACCGTAGCTTCATCATGAGGATTCAGTGAGATCATAAACATGTCTGACACTTAAAGACTCCCCATACCAGACTCTTCCTTCCCCTGATGGGATTTGGGGAGCAGGGAAGCAAGAAGTAAAACTCAGTTCTCTCTGTTCCCCAGTGTCAGCAGAAGCTGATGGAAAATCGGGCTCTGGATCCAGGGACTCGGGATTCCTATGGTGCCACCAGCCACCTCCCCAACAAGGGCGCCCTGGCTAAGGCCAAGAACAACTTCAAAGACCTGATGTCCAAGCTGACAGAGGGCCAGTACGTGCTGTGCCGTTGGACAGATGGACTGTATTACCTCGGGAAGATCAAGAGGGTAGGCATCTCCTCTCTGGTCCCTATTCTCAGGCTTGGCATCTTTGCTGGTCCTCTGGCCTGACTTTCAGACCAGTGATGGAGGAACAGGAATTGCTGGCAAGTTCCCTTCTTGTCTCCCATGCCCAGAAGCTGAAAAGAGAAAGAGCCAGAGCCTGAGTTTGCAGGTACCTTCCTTGGAACAAACATCAGCCAGAACTTTAGAAAAGTGCTCTGAGTGCCTACAGAGCACACTGAACAAGGCTGGAGAGGAGCAGGGGTGACCCGCTGGCCTGTTCTGCCCTCAGTGTTCCTACCAAGTTGTCCCCCTGTCCCTGACTGTCCAGTTCCAGGGCCTCCAGGAGTTGCCACCCCCGCTCCTCTACTAGCCTAGCTCAGCTTTCTGAAGCCCAAGGAGACAGAAGTGGGAGGACGACTGGGCCCCGTCTGGCTGTCCCCCCAGCTCTTTCTCACATTGCTCCCCTCGTGCCTCAGGTCAGCAGTTCTAAGCAAAGCTGCCTTGTGACTTTCGAAGATAATTCCAAGTACTGGGTCCTGTGGAAGGACATACAGCATGGTGAGTATTCCTAAGATTTGGGGTACCCTCCCCTCCCCTGTTCTCCCTCCTCCAACACCATCAGTCCTTCCATCTCTTTTTCCTGGCATCTGCCCTGGTTCATGAACCCCCAAGCCCACCTGAGGTGATGATCAGATTACCAGTTGTGTGACATCTGTGTCCTCCCCTTGAGTGCTCATATTTATAAGGGAGACAAGGCAGATGGGGAAGTGGCTCACAGAGGTACCACGCAGGCTGGGACTAGATCTCAGGCATGTGTTTGTACTTTATCTCCTGCTTTTAAAGCTCTGGCTCTAGTGGACTAGGAATGAGGAGGAGGCCAAGCAATCAGAATTGTCACCTGTAGGTTTAATCAGTGCCCCAAATCTGCATGTGAAGAAAACTAGTGGAGGCAGCTCTAGCCCTGGGGCGAGGAGTCAGGAACCATGAAGAGCGCAGAGATGGGCCAGTCAGTGTGAAGGTGGACATGCCTGGGTGGAGCTGGGCCTCTTCCCGTCCCTGACTGCAGAGAGCTGACAGTGTCTTATGGAGATGGCAGATTAGGCATTCTGCTGCCATTCTCCCTTCCACATGACCCATGTCCGTGGTCAGTCACAACACTCAGATTTGGGGGAGGGGGCAGTACTGGTGATTGAACTCAGGGGCACTCAACCACTGAGCCACCTCCCCAGCCCTATTTTGTATTTTATTTAGAGACAGGGTCTCACTGAGTTGTTTAGCGCCTGGCTTTTGCTGAGGCTGACTTTGAACTCTTGATCTTCCTGCTTCAGCCTCCTGAGATGCTGGGATTACAGGCGTGGGCCACCATGCCCAGCTGCTTATAGATTTTTAACATGGAACTCCCATCAGCTACCACCCATCAGAGTTGTCGCAAGAGAAGAAATCTATTTGCTATTTATGCTTAAAAGGAGAATGGGGGGCAAAGGAGGTTTTGTTGGTCATATGGACTTTGAACCAAGTTCTAATTCTGCCATTACTAGATGCATAGCCTTGGGTTGTTAAGTCTGGTTTTCTTCATCTGAAAGAAGGAGAGTGAAGTCTTGGCTTCATAGGGTGGTCAGGAAGATTAAGTGAGATAGCCATGTAAAAAGCTATTGAGTCACAGGGAAGCAGTTTCAAAGAATATACGGTAACAAAGAATTTATAGTAACACTATAAAAGACGATTTAAATAGCCCTTTTCTGCAAGAAATTGTGGCCAAGACAGACTGAGACCTTTTCCCAGCCCCTCTTACCCTAGAATTACTATATAAAGATCCAAAGCCATGAAGATCTCCTCTCCTATTACCCTTTTACTGAAAGTGTAAGGAGTCAGCTAGAGAAGATGGTTAGTTTTAGCAGGGTTTGCATAGAAGGCTTACTGTGTGCCGGACACCATGGAGGTACCATCGTGCTCTCCTAGAACAGCTTGTCTCCCCAGCCGGAAGACTGTTCCTCCCAGGCAGAATGGTGGCCCCCTGGTGTTGCTGGACATGCTAAGCTATGATCCATCTCATTGCTTCATTAAGCCAGTGAGGACTTACTGAGACTCACTGTAGGTACCACACTCCTGGGGCATATTCAGGAAGAAACAGGTCCCTGCTTGACCATTTATTCAACAAACATGTCTTAAACACCTGTATGTATCCCATATGAGGTCCTGGGGATACCAAAATGAAATGACACCATTTCTACTATAACAAAAAAATGACACTGGGTGGTGGCACATGCCTATAATCCCATCAGCTCAGGAGACTGAGGCAGGAGGATCTCAGTTTCAAAGCCTCAACAACTTAATGAAGCTGTGAGCAACCTAGTAAGACCCTGTCTCAAAATAAAAAATAAAAGGTCTGGGAATGTGGCTCAGTAGTAAAAGGCTCCGGGTTCAATCCTGGTACAAAAATAAAACAAAACAAAACACCAAACCCTCAGATGATTGGAGAAATGAGACAGAAACACACATCAATATGTATTTAATGTATCCGTTCAAGCATTTCAGTTGTTAAAATGTAAAGAAAACAATAGAGAGGGAATCAATAGATGAAAAACAATTCTAAAATCCTATTAACTGGTCACCATGTATAAACTTTTTTGGATCTTGATTCAAAAGCAAAAAACAAATTGAGAATCATGACAACATTTTTTAAAAAACATTTTAGTTGTAAGAGGACAGAATACCTTTATTTTATTTATTTATGTGGTGCTGAGGATTGAACCCAGGACGTCAGATATGGTAGGCAAGCACTYTACCACTAAGCCACAACCCCAGCCCTGAGAATCATGACAACATTTTTATTGAGAGACAGTTGGGAATATGAACACTAACTGAATTTGTTGATATTAAGGCTCTGTGGCGATTTTTTTTGTTTTGTTTTGTTTTGTTTATGCTGGGAAGGACCTTATGCATGCTAGGCAAACCCAGGACCTTATGCATGCTAGGCAAACACTCTACCCCAGAGCTATGTCCCAACCCAGTAGTGACGCTTTAAAAAAAAAAAAAAAAAAAAGAAATCCTGATATTTCAGAGATACAACTGAAGTATTTATGGAAAAATGATTTGGTATCTGGATCTCAATTCAAAATAATGACAAGAGGGAGAAGTGGGTGGGAACCTAGTCAAAATAAGATTAGCTCTGAGTTCATGATTATTTATGAGAACATGGAGTTATAGTGTAACATACCATTATTATCCCATAATAATTTTTTTAAATGTTATTTAGCATAAAAATGTCAACCAAACAAGTTGAATTAGAAGAGAGCATGCTGTGGTCAAAAGAACAAAAGATTTGTTGAATAGCCATCAATTTGAATCCCACTTTTTATTAGCTTAGCAAGGAACTTAATCTCTTAAGCCTCAGTTTCCCCATCTTTAGAATGGGGTATTGGTAATACCCCATTGGACAGATGCAGTGGGGTGGCTTGGAGGCCTGGTGCTAGGTCCAGTGTGCACCAGAAAACCAGGACCTGGACTCTGATTTTAACTCTTCTAATTGCTGTGAGCCAGTTGTGACCTGGAAGGCCCTCTTTTTCAGCCGGTGTTCCAGGGGAGGAGCCCAAGTGTAACATCTGCCTGGGGAAGACCTCAGGACCCCTGAATGAGATCCTCATCTGTGGAAAGTGTGGCCTGGGTGAGTGGGGTGAGCAGGCATTAAAAAGCCCCCATCCTGTGAGTCTACCCCTGCATTGGCCTGACGGACACTCTTCCCCACTGCTGGGACCCCTGGTGGCTCCCTGTTTCTCTTGAGCTCCAGGATGAAAGGGGGCCAGTCTCTGTGAATGAGGGCCCAGGGAGGTGACCTTGGGGAGGTTGAGAAAATACAATGGAACATGCAGTTTGGTACCCACCTAGGTAGCGAGGAAGAGTGGGAAAGAACCGGTACAGGTGCTGAAGCCAGGCCTTGGTGCCTCCCCCTCTGGCCAGTGCTTTCTTTTYGTCCCCAGCCTGGATGCCAACTTGGCTGCCTGGGTGGGCATCACCAGCCAGCCCCCTAGCAGCTGGCAGGCAGAGCTCCCAGGGCTCTCCGCCACCTTCTCAGCCTTGCTGCCTTTGAGCTTCCTGGCCTTGAGCCACTGCTTTGTCCTGGGTACTCACTACCCCCTCCTCTGTCGTAGGTTACCACCAGCAGTGCCACATTCCCATAGCAGGCAGTGCTGACAGGCCCCTGCTCACACCCTGGTTCTGTCGACGCTGCATCTTTGCTTTGGCCGTTCGGGTGAGCCTCTGTCTTTGTCAGACCCTGCCTCTCCCTCCTTCAGTCCAGCAGCCCAGAGGACCCCTGGGCCCAGGCCGGACTCCCCATACCAGACTCTGAGCTCCAAGCAGAAGGACCCTACTTGGGCTTCAGAGATAGATGGTATCTCTGCCACTTAGGAGCTGTATGTCCTTGATCAAATTCCAGATCCTTACTGAGCCTCAGTTTCCCCAGTTGTAAAATAGACACGGTTTGGTGTTAGGAGTAGCAGGTCCCTGATAGATGATGCTTTGCTATTAAAAGAGAAAATCCCTGTAAATTCTTATGCTAATACATGTAGGTCATTATGACCTGTATTGTGCTTATTGCCTTTAATATTATTAATGAAGATCCTTCTGGGATAGAGATGGCTTGAGGATTGGTGAAGGAAAGTTCCTTGCCTTCCTGTCTTGGAACTTCTGAGGGTTCCCCCAAACCCTGGGCAGTATTTCCCTTGATAGTCGTGTAATGACGTGTGGCCCAACCAGTACAGCAGGTGAGTGGGGCCCTCGTCTTCCCCCAGAAAGGTGGCGCGTTGAAGAAGGGCGCCATCGCCAGGACGTTGCAGGCAGTGAAGATGGTGCTGTCCTACCAACCTGAGGAGCTCGAGTGGGACTCGCCACACCGCACCAATCAGCAGCAATGCTACTGCTACTGCGGCGGGCCCGGAGAGTAAGGCCACCGGGACAGGGCCGCCGGGGAGACGGCCGGCTGACTGCCGGCTGGGGCCTGACGGGGAGGGCTGGGAGTGTGAGCCTCGAGGGGCGGGGCTGCGGGCCCGAAGTGTCAGCCTCGGGCCGGGGCCTCAGGGGGCGGGGCTTCGGGAGGCGGGTCCGAAGTGTCAGCCTCGGGGGCGGGGCCGTGGGAAGCGGGCCCAACTTGTCAGCCTCGGGGGCGGGGCCACGGGAGGCGGGCCCGAATTGTCAGGCTTGGGGGCGGGGCCGCGGGAGTCGGGGCCGAAGTGTCAGCCTCGGGCGCGGGGCCTCAGGGGGTGGGGCCGCGGGAGTCCGGGCCGAAGTGTCAGCCTCGGGCGCGGGGCCTCAGCGGGCGGGGCTTCGGGAGGTGGGCCCGTTGTGTCAGACTCGGGGGCGGGGCCGCAGGAGGAGGGCCCGAAGTGTCAGCCCCCGGAGTCCAACCCAGAGTGTCAGCCGCGGGGGCGGGGCCGCGGGGGCAGGCCCGGAGTGTGAGCCGCGCTGTGTGGGAGTGGGAGCGGGGTCCCCAGGGAGGCAGGATAGGTCGGGGTGCATTCTGCGACAGGGGTGAGTCAGGAGAGTCGCCAAGGGGCCTCCAGGAGCCCCTGAAGGTAAGGTTTCGGAGTGGGGTGCAAGGGGGCAGGACTTCAAGATGAGAACCTGAAGATTGGGCCTCTAGGTGGCGTCTGACACTTTCCGGCAGATGGGGGATCCGGGACGGGGGTGACAGGGGTGTTCGCTTGGAACCTGGAGGAAAGGAGGAAGTGTAAAAGAATAACTAAGAGCCTAGGCCTGATACTCGTTCAAGATCCTCCCCGGACGTCCAAATCCAGGCTCTGTCCCTGTGCAACCCCCAAGCTTCAGTTTGCTTACTGTTTTCACCATGTGGAAGTTGTGCACGATGTTAATTAGATAATTCCCGTAAAGGCATACACAGGTCTTGGTACTTGGCAAGCATTTTAAAAAAAGTGAGGTGGGCTGAAGTTGTGGCTCAGGGGTAGAGCGCTCGCCTAGCATGTTCAAGGCCCTGGGTTTGATCCTCAGCACCACATAAAAATAAATAAAGATATTGGGTCCAACTAAAAAATAAATATTAAAAAAAAGTGAGGTACTGGTGATGGTGCCATTACTGCATGGAAATTATGATTACYTATTCATCGTCAGAGCCAATGAAACAAGTGAGATACAAAGATTCTTTTCCCTAGAGAAGTGCAAGCAGAGCTGGCCTGATGCTAGGGATGGTGCAGAGGGCATTCTTGTCTTACTGTGCCAGTGTCTGATTGACTCTTCCTGGTTCCCCTTATAGCCATGGTTAGTTGATCCTGCTCCTTTGCACTGACTGCCCCAGGCATTGTGAAAGGAACCTCAGACTTAAGAGGTTGGGTTTCTGCCTCAGGAAACAGTCTGCAGGGCCCTCTGATGTCCTTAATCTCATACCCCATCCGATACAAGAACTAGAGGTCTGAAGACTGTGGTTAGAGCCYATTTGGGAACTCAGGCAAATCATTTGAACTACTTTAAAACTCTCTAAATGGCTTAGTTACCTTAATTACCTATAGATCCTGGGTTGTTGAGCAGCCTAACAATAGAAGATTGAGAAATGTTTACAGAAACCTTTATGGCTTTAAGGCAGTGTGTTTCAGTGTTTAATGGGTGATTGCTAAGGATGCATCTCCTGGAGGCTTCCCCAAAGATTGCAATGATCTGAAGTGGACCAAGGAACCTGCAGGTTATCCTGGACCACACCTGACAAAGTGCAGAATGTTGGCTGTTAAGGGAATATCTTTTTGGCCTTCATTCACAATCAGATACTAATTGTTGAATAGCCCTAATGCAGTAGTTACAGTACCAGGTGAGAAACAATAGGCCTGCCCCCATGTAGCTTTACAGGAACCATTATTCTTCCATGAGTTTCTCAGGATGTCTGTGATGTTTGGGGAACRAACACAGGCCAGAGGTGGGGGCTCTGATATGGCATGGCAGGAGGAACACGGGCTTTGACATTGAGGAAACCAGGATTTGAGTCACCATCTTCCATGTTCTGAGTGACCTTGAGCAAGCCATTTATCCTCTAACTCATCTGTAATATGGGGGCATATTCATCTCGGCCAGATGGTAAGGTCCAACGAAGTGGCATACGCCTGGCTCCCAGAACCTCCAGGCACAGTCTGAGTGCTTAGTTTCTGGGAGTTCCCTTCCTTCTCTTTGGGTGGAGGGCACAGCCGCTGTGCCTCATGCCTAATTGTGAWCGTGGCTGACGGTGTTTCATCTTCCTCTCCAGATGGTATCTGCGGATGCTGCAGTGTTATCGATGCAGGCAGTGGTTCCACGAGGCCTGCACACAATGCCTCAATGAGCCTATGATGTTTGGAGACAGGTAAGTTAGTGCTATTTTGGTCCAGCTGGGCCTTCAGAGTGGCAGCTCCTTAGGATTGCCTGCTAGGCCCATACAGGGGGTCTATGATAGCATGTACCCATCCACAGGAGGCCRCTCAGGGTAAAGGAGACACAGCTATGCTGTGCTGCATTTCTAATTGCCATGGAATTGTGAGCACTTCAGGCACATCTTTACCTTCCCTAAGCACCAGTCTCTTCAAGTGTCTGGGGAGGGAATGGTGACACAGTCCCTGCCCCAGTCCTGCCCAGAGAAGTTGTAGGAACCACCAAAAGAAATGGATGCCTTCTAAGCAATAGGGCTAAGCTAATGGAAGGTGCTACATGTCAAACCAGATATTATGTGTTTTTTGTGTCATTTGTCATTGTGTGTGTATTAGGGGAGGAGGGTAACCATGACAGTCCAGCATAGCTCAGGTCACTCTCTTATGAACCTCAAGGCACTCCAGGGCAGTGGTATTTGGGAAGGGGCCTGAACGTACAGGAGTATTCCTTGATCCTGTCCAGACTTGTCCTTAGCCCTCCAACCCCCCAGAGGCCACCTGTCCCAGGAATGAAAGTCTGACTATGAGGAGGCAGGTGGGGGGAGCTGGCCTAGGGTGGGATGTCAGAGCCCCACCCACCACAAATGCTTTCCCATATTCCGAAGAATCTTCGTGAACCCACCACAGGTCCCCTTTCCACCCATCCACAGGTTCTACCTGTTCTTCTGCTCSGTGTGTAACCAGGGCCCAGAGTACATCGAGAGGCTGCCCCTGCGATGGTGAGAGGGTGGGGCTTGGTTCAAATTCACCCCTGCCAGCTCCTCCATTATCTCCTCCCTGGGGRTTGCCCCGCCCCTTACCTGGCCCCACCCCTTGCCCTCTTGCTCAGGGTGGATGTGGTTCACCTGGCCCTCTACAACCTTGGGGTGCAGAGCAAGAAGAAGTACTTTGACTTTGAGGAGATTCTGGCTTTTGTCAACCACCACTGGGAGCTCCTGCAGCTTGGCAAGGTACTCAGGGCAGTGGGCTGTCAGAGTGGCAGAGACAGAGATGTCTCTATAGGGCTGTGCCTTGAGGACTAGGGTCTTGAGCTCTCACTTTGCATCCTGAGTCCAGGCCTCTGGTCTCTGATTTTGGCAGTGGGCATATGGGGACTCACCAACTCAGCCTCTGGGAGCTGGGGCCCTGGATCAAATCTGGCCAGAGCAGGTTCTCTGCTGAGGTGTCTGGCCCACTTCAGATTTCTTAGCTAAGATGAAAAGTAGAGTAGGCCTGTCCCTGCTCATGCTGTTCTGAACAGTGGGTCACCAGGGGCCTGGGCACCTCTGATCCATGAATTAGTTGAAATAACAAATGTAGACTTTAGAATGTCAGAGCTGGAGAACAGCCTGCCTAAGGTCAGCCACCTGAGCCAAGGCTGGGATCAGGACCTTCCTAGCCACTTCTGGAGTGGGGATGAGCCCCTTTGTCCCTAATGACACTCAGAATCCTTGCTACTACATGCAAGTGAGCCTGCTTCTTTACTGATTGCCCCAAGCTCTTCTTTGATGAGACAAGGATTTTTTTTTTAATATTTTTTAGTTGTTAATGGACCTTTATTTCATTTATTTATATGCAGTGCTGAGAATCAAACCCAGTGCCTCAAGCATGCTAGGCAAGCACTGTACCACTGAGCCACAACCCCAGCCCCAATTTTTTTCTTAAGTAGCCTACATGCTTTGCAAAAAGAAAAAAGAAAAAAAAGAAAAAGAAAAAAAAWTTTTTTTTGTACCAGGGATTGAATCCAGGGCTGCTTAACTACTGAGCCACATCCTCAGCCCCTGCAAAAAAATTTTTCACATGAAATCTTCATTTATAGTATTGGATAATTTATAAGATATACATATTATAAAGCCTTAAACTGTTTTTTTTTTTACTCTTTTTCCTGATTTACAAAAAAAAATCATACTTATTACTGGTAGAAAATTTATAAGTTACCAAGAAACATAAGGAAGTGTACTTTTTAAAAAATCCACATTCGCATATCACACTACCCAGAAATAACTAGAAATAATGCATAGGTACATTTCCTTTGAGCCTCTCTTCTATGCTTGTTTTTTTATTTTTACGTGATTTGGATGATACAGTATGTATATATATAATTTATTTTTTTTCAGTTTGTCATAATTTAAATGCTTTCCCATATTCCTGAAGAATCTTCGTAAACATGTTTTTCTTTTTGTCATGAACATTTTTAATGGTGGCATTGGTTTCTACCATAGTTCACTGGTTTCCTTCCTGTTGGGCATGTGGTTTTTTTCCCTCCTCTCCACCATTAGAAACGTGCCATTGGGACCATTTTTGTAAGTGGAGTTTTATTTGAGTCCCGTGTCCTATCTGTACCATATATCCCCTGGGAGAGCATTACTGGGTCAAAGTATGTATCTTTTAAAGATCTTAATAGATTTAGGCCAGGAGTTTTTCTCTCCATTTTCCCCTGAGAGAGGGGAAAGGCTTGTCTGAGATTTCATGGATCAGTGTCCTCACCTGAAGGACTCAAAGGCATCAGGAAGGAGATGGACAGGCAGGGGACAGGGTGGGGCCTCCTAAGATGCCAGGTGCCTGAGTCTGACTGTCTCACTGGCCTGCTCCCCCAGCTCACCAGCACTCCTGTGACGGATCGAGGACCGCATCTCCTCAATGCTCTGAACAGTTACAAAAGCCGGTGCGTGCAGCGTGGGAGGGAGTACTGTGGGCCGCCCCAGCAGGTGGGATCTCAAGCTAAGGGCTCTTCCTACCTGTCTGGGTTTCCCTCTCCTTCTTAACCTATACCCTTCCCATCCTTCATGACCCAGGGAACAAAGGATCCTGGGACCTTCTTTTGCAAAGTTTCTCCTGAGCACCCAGCAGCCTTACTCAGTTTGGGACTGGGCGCAGCTCCATAGGGGGATGTGCTCCTGCTCTCTGAGAGTCCCCCCTGCCTGAGCCAGCTGGGGTTCTGGGTCCCTCAGTGAGGCATCAAGTCAGCATATTCCAGGTGTGTCATAACCTTCTAACCTGTCCCCAGCCAGTGTCTTCCCATTCTGAGTTGAGCACACATAGCTGGCCACCTTCACCACACAGGGGATGCCTGGGCTCCCCGTTCCAGCATTCAAGGACTCTTTTGATCAGGCCCTGCCTGCAAATCTTCTTCCACTGTCTCTTTGATTTTTTGCCTTGGTGCCAGCCCCACTGAGCCCTTGCTCCCCACCCAGGGTTTTTGCTCATCATCTTCCCTCAGCCTAGGATGCTCTTCCTTCCCTTCTATTCATTTGTTCCATCAGCAAGTATTTATCAGCTGCTGCTCTGTCAGGCCCTGTCTAGGTGCTGGGGGAAAAGACAAGTCCCTGCTTCTACAAAAGCTTCCAGATGCCTCTAGAAGGACTCACCTTCACATTCAATAGATTGGGACCCAGGCACAGTCTACTCCTCAGTACAAGGCCTTGTGCCTCCCAGTAGAGAGTCCCCAAGAACAGGCCTGGGTGTGAACTGCCTCTGCAGCTCAGGGCCACGCAGCCAGTGTTAGAAGGAAGGAAGTGCCTGGGGGTGCTTCCAGCTTCTGGGGGAGTTCAGATGACAGCATGGGTTGGAATCAGTGTCTTGACCATGGGAGTCCCACTGTGAGCTGAAGGTGGCCTTGCAGCTGGTGGAGGCAGAGAAGAAAAGGGAGAGGAACAGCAAGAAATCCCACATGTACTGGAGGAAGGATATGGAGGAGCCACAAGCCACATCCTCAGCTAGGACCCACTTAGTCCCTAGGGGCCACTCTGGATTTTAGGTCTGGGTCCAGAGAGGCAGACAACCTTGTTTAATGTCCACCAACACTCCCCAGGAGGATGGACTGAATCTGGGTCTTCTCCCCTGCCCATGCCCAGGTTCCTCTGCGGCAAAGAGATCAAGAAGAAGAAGTGCATCTTCCGCCTGCGCATCCGTGTCCCCCCCAACCCACCGGGGAAGCTGCTGCCTGACAAGGGTCTGGTGCCAAATGAAAACGGCGCCTCCTCTAGCTCCTCTGAGCTGCGTAAGAGAGGAAAGAGCAAGCCTGGGTCAGTGCTTGGGGACCTAGGGGTTAGGGCTGCAGCCCCAGTTGGTTTCTCTGCTCCCAGCTCCCAGGACAATGGGCCATGCCTGGGATCTGAGAGCATGGTGACATTTGTATAAACCAAGAGCCCCCACAGCTAGTCCAGCATAGGTTCCCCGAGAGAGCTAGTCAGTGGCTCCCAGGCTCCTTCTGCAGCCCCCTTATTGCCTCTCAGGAAAAGCCAGATCATAGGCCCCAGCCCTAAGGGGAAGAGAAGGGGAAATTGGGTGTGGACGGCGCCCTTGCCCTCTCGGCTGAGCTGAGCCCCCTCCTGAGTGTTGGGGGCAGGGTACCTGGACACACATGCCCAGAGAGGCACCTTTTCTTTTTCTACCCATGATAACCCTCCTGCATCTCCTGCCCCAAAGCAAGTGCACTCCTCCCCAGACTCCTTCTGAAGGTGCCGCCATCCACCCTCATTCAAGTCCATCCCTGCCCCAGCTACCGGCCCCTGCCCCTGTGCTCCTGAGGCTCCTTCCTCTGGGGCCCCCTCTGGCCCTCAGGCTCTGACTGAGCCACCCTCTCCCTTTTCTGTCTCCACAGTTTGTTGCCTCACGAATTCCAGCAGCAGAAAAGGCGAGTTTATAGAAGAAAAAGATCAAAGTTTTTGCTGGAAGATGCTATTCCCAGTGTTAGTTCCTTGTTTTCTCATCCTCCACTTTCACATGCAGGACCGCCACCAAATTAGGGATTCCTGTGCAGAAAATGAAGTCCCCCAAGCCCAGGGAACTCTCCCATGTCCCATTTCCTATTTAGCAAAACAAGGAAAAGTTAGGTGCTCCAGTACCTCTCCCTTGCCTCCCCAAGTTCTCCCAGGAACCCAGGGGCAGTAGTATCCTTGTCCCCTTTGTCAAGTGGGGAAACAAAGACAGGGTTGAGCAATAACTTTCCTGAGGTCACACATCAGCCTGGAACCAGGGCTCCAGGGCATTTGTTTTTCTTTGGCACCCTCACCGAAGCCCTCTCTGTGGGCAGTGATACTAACAATGCCTCATCTCCCCAGCACTTTACAGTTTACAGGCATTACTTAGTGCCTTTGATAGCCATTATTTAATTTTCTGGGCATCCTGACACCTTTTAAGAGGGAAACAGGGCAGGGTTTCTTGCCCCCATTTTGCAGTTGAGGTGACTAAGGCCAGAGGGGTCAGCATTATCCAGCTGGCTGGAGACAAAGCCAGGACTAGAATCAGGGTAACTTGGCTCTCTGGTCAGGACTTGGAATAAAGAGGAAGTGGCAGGCCTTACCCTAGGGAGGCCCAGCACTTGGCAGCTCTGGCTGGTGTGGCCCTCAGCTGGGGCAAAAGGTGCTTGGGGAAGGCGGATTTGATACCCGCTGACTGACCCATCCTCTCTTTTTCCTCTGTGTCCACAGAGTGACTTCACCTCGGCCTGGAGCACCAACCACCACCTGGCTAGCATATTTGACTTCACGCTGGATGAAATTCAGAGTTTAAAAAGGTATCAGTGAGGGGCCCAGCAGAAAGGTCTGCTCCGGAGGCTGGGACGGAAAAGGTGTGGAGGCTCCCTGCATCCGCACAGCCAGGCAGGAGGCTCTGGAAGGGGGAAGGGCAGAAAGTATTCTGAGGGAGGAGTGGGTACTTCTGAAACCCCAGGTTAAAGGGTCCCTGTGGCATGGGGCTGCCTGGAGGGCCTTTACCAGCTTTCAGCATGGCACCCCCATGGCACTGAGGCTGCCTCGCTGTGCCCCTCGCTCCCCAGCCTCTTCCTGCCCGCCACCTTACACCAATTTCTGTGGTTATCCCACACTGTGGTTTAACACCTCCTTGCCTTCACTCATGCTGCCCCCTCTGCCTGGGAGGCCCTTTGCCCTGCCCACCCCATCCCATCTGAAAACCCAGGACCTGGCTCCTTCCAAGGAGCCTACACAGATCCTCCCAGGCTGTGTTGGATACCTTTCTGTGTGTGCTTGGGTACACTCAAGGGGAGGGTCTACATCTTTTGTCATCTGATTTCCAAAATCACTAGAAGTCATTCAGTGTTTACCTAAAGCCATGGAGGAAAGAGTCGGGGATTGAGACAGGCTGAGCTCCAGACCCTGTTTACCAGTACTATGTGGCATCAGCTAAATTTCTTAACCTCTTTGAACCTCCTGATGTTTTCTTTCAACAAGATACTGAAAATGGAAACACTGACCTGTAAAGTCGCACAAGTGCCTCACGGTTCATTAAGTATCATTATCTGTGCTTCTGTCACATTTATTTATAAGCCTAGTGGAGGGGAAGGTGGTCAGGGAAGGCTCTCCTGCCTCCTGGACTTTGAAGGGGGATAGGCGGGAAATTGGCAGGTGTGGTGGTGGGAAGCTCAGCAATGGAAAGATGGGCCTCCACTGGGAATGAAGGATGCATGGCAGAGAGGCAGAGAAAAGCTGGAGAGATCCCAGGGGCCCCCAGGAGCCAGGTCAGCAGGACTTTGCTCGGCTGGACAATGGCAGGCTCACCCTTGCCCCTTCTCTCAGTGCCAGCTCAGGCCAGACCTTTTTCTCAGACGTGGACTCCACGGACGCTGCCAGCACCTCGGGCTCTGCATCTACCAGCCTCTCCTATGACTCCAGGTGAGCTCCCAGAGGTCAGCCCTGACCTCAAGCTTCACAAGAACCGTTGTTCTTCCCAGGCTGCCACCTCCCACTTCTACTTTTGTGGGGCTCAATTTGCATACCTGAGCCCCRGGCTGGAGGACCTGGCCTTCTGCAATTCTAAGAGTCTGGCCCTGGGACCCTCTAGTTCCGAGTCCCTGGGGTTCAGGTGGGATAAGGACAGGCATCCAGGATGCTGGGGCCACATCCCTTTGGAATGCTCTTCACCTGCTGCAGAACAATGTGACATCTCTGGCTGGCTGGTTCCAATCTGGGGTTGTCTTTTATTAGGGGTTCTTGGCCTCTGTGTGCTGTGATTTTGCAGGCCCGTGCTTCTCAGGCTGTGGGGTCCCTAACCCTGGTTTCTGGCTGAGTTCCAGGGCCTCTAAGGGAAGACCATGTGTAGGGAAGCCTGGTAGAGGGAGGATGGCATCCTGTGGACTGCAGGGTCTGGTGGAGGACAAATTCCAGGGGGCCCAAGCTGAAGGGCTGGCCTGCTTGGCAAGAGCCGGTGGTCAGCAGGGAGGGTGGTCTGCAAAGCAGAAGGATTTCTTCTGGACTCAGACTCCTTTATTTTAGGACATGTGAAGCCCTTGCAAAAGTAGAATTAAAAGCATAACGCTTGTAGACCTGTGTCCTGAAGTCTTAGTTTGCAGAAGTCTCTCATGTGTCTTTTTCTAATGTTGCCTCTGGTTTTTTGTTTGTTGGTTGGTTGGTTCTGGGGATGGAACCCAGGACCTCACACAAGCTAGGCAAGTGCTCTACCACTGAGCTACACCCAGCCCTATATTTTGTTTCTTCCTGTTTCTTTCGTTTTCACTAGTGCTTTGGGTCTTGGCTTCCATTTCTAAGCATCTGTGGATGTGAATCTGATCTTGTGTCCCTTCTCTAACACATCTGCCTGTGTAGTACAAGGTCTGTCCTTCAGTCCTTGACCCTGTCCTCATCCCTATTTGGCTCAGCTAGCTCCACATGTGTGCAGCGTACACAAGGCCTCTATGCTGCATGACCTCAGGGGGCACAGAGAACAGTTGTCTGTACTCTAGCAGTTCTGGTTCTGGCACCCAAAGAGCCCGGGCTTTAGAGCTGGACAGACCCAGGTTGGAACCCTGGCTCTGCCACTCCCCAGCTGGCTGCTTCTCCCCTGGAGCTTCAGTTTCCCTCTTATGGGGTTACTGTAAGGACCCGTGAGATAATCCATGCCCCGGGCCAGGCACAGTGCCTGGTTCCCAGGAGACTGCTGCGAGCAAGGGATTTGTCACGGTCATCCCATCTCATTCCCATCATCTTCCTCTCTCCACTCCTGCTGTAGACGGACAGTAGGCAGCCGCAAGAGGAAGCTGGCGGCCAAGGCATATATGCCGCTGCGGGCCAAGCGGCGGGCGGCTGAGCTGGGTGGACGCTGCCCCTCAGACAGCAGTGCGGAGGGGACTTTGGGCCCCGAGCGGCCAGACGAAGGCATCGATAGCCACACATTTGAGAGCATCAGTGAAGACGACTCATCCTTGTCACACCTCAAGTCATCTATCACCACCTACTTTGGAGCAGCAGGGCGGTTGGCCTGTGGGGAGAAGTACCAGGTGTTGGCTCGGAGGGTCACACCAGAGGGCAAGGTTCAGTACCTGGTGGAATGGGAAGGGACCACCCCTTACTGACTACCCCTCGGGGGCTGCAGGGAGCCCTGAAAACCAGAGGGACAGCCGAGGGCACAGGTTTCCCTGTTTCCTCCAGGCTGGGTGGGGGAGGAAGCAGCACAGTGGCAAGGGCCTGGAGAGGCCTTGCCCAGCTGCCCAGCAGGCCAACCTGAGCCTGCACCACTGCTGTGCCAGCTCTGCTCTGCTCTGCTCTTGGTCCATGGCCTCCCTAAGGTCCCACTGGCTCTTTTTTAGTGTCTTCACACTCCACACCCCTCACACTGTTTATTGGTTCTTCCTGAGTTTGTGTCCACCCCTATCCCACCCCCCACCCGGCTCTGTGACTCTAACTCCTGAGGCCCAAATCTTTCTGTCCCCATTACTTTGTCCCTTCACCTCTCACTGCTTTCTGGTGTGTGTTCACACATCCTCCATGTGCACATCTGTCCCTCCACTGGATATCCTTTACATCTGACCCATGGGGGCTGCTCCTCCCTAGGACCACATTGAGATCGGGAACCTCTGAAGGAGAACAGGCCAGCGGGGGCTTCTCTCCCCCGCCCCCTTTTCCTTCCACTTCTACCCCTGGAAAGGGGGTGGTGTGAAAGGACTCTGGGAAAGTCTGTGTGGCAGAGATGCTGGGATTCAGCACCTAGAGAGCAAAGAACCGGGTCTCCGCAGCAGAAGGCACTAGCCTCTGGGCCCCCTTATTAAGGCTGAGTGTGAAGGCTGCTGGCCTCAGTTCTGAAGGTCCAAGAAGTTTGTCTGTGCCAAGCCTCACACCACTTAGCTGCCACAGAGCTGGGCCTCGCCTTCCTAGAATGGAGACATCCACGAAAACCAGGGAGACTGGGGGAAGCAGTGGAAAGGGAGCCACCACCCACAGCCAAACCACACCCATGCTCTTGCCCAGAAGCTTCCATGTGTGTGCTTTTACACACCAGGCTCACACATCTCCCAGCATCCACACACAGCCACATGGCCTGTCGGGGCAGCCTGGCTCCTTCTTTTGGCTTCCTCTTTGTCCCTTCCAGGGGCACAGGCTGCAGGTGAATGTGAAGGTCCAGCTCCTGCCCACTTCCTCCAACATATGGACTAGCTTTGGCCCCATGAGGTCAAAGCACAGAAGGCTCCTACTCTCCCCCAGCTCCCCAGCCCTGCTCTAAAATTGATCGCCACTTTTGGAGTTAGGTCGGGATTTTTCAATGGCCTGTTTCATTAAGCCCCCTCAAAGGGATGTGTTTGTCATTTGGGCTTGAAATAGAATTCTTAGAACAGACATTCAGATTCAGCCCCACCTGGAGGGAAACCAAAATTGAGAGGGGGGCCAGGACCCCTCATTTTTGCTGCTTCCAGAGATATTAGAAACTGACTCACTTGATTGGAAATGGGAAGAAGTGCCTTGACTGATGGGGTTGGGCACCAGGTTGGGACCAGCCTTGGCTGGATTTGCAGGTCATCAGCTGGAAGGCGAAGATGGGAAGAATGAGGCAGCAGGCCCAAGGAGCCAGATTTCCCGAGATTATGCCAAACTCCTCCCCACCATGAGCACTCTGCCCTGGGATAGGCTAGATGGCCCTGCCTTAAACCTCAGCTCCTATAGTGCCTTTCAAAGGAACTTCACCTCAGCCCCTGCGCATAGCCTGCCCACTTCCCTCTCTTTCCCCTACATGGCCCAGGCAGGGACAAGCAGGTTCTGGGCCCAGTTCTTAGCCCCACAGCTGCTGCCACTGAGGCACCCAGGGAAGGGGAGTTGAGAAGCCAGCCCCAGCCCAGTAGGGGTGTGGGACCTGGGATTCAAACTGGCTTCCTGCCGGCCTCAGCACAGCAACCTCGAGGTCTGACTTCCAGGTTCTGAGAAAGCCAGGATGAGCAAGGCCTGTCCTTCCCACTTAGGCTGGGAGAGGCTCTGGGGCCTGAAGAGCAGGGCAAAAGAACCTTTCCCACTGGGAAGACAGCACAAGTGACCTAATGAGGTCACTGACCCTACACCCCAGCTTTTCATTCATACCACATAATAGCTGCATTACTGCCAACTCACCTTATAACCCTGTGCACCTTCTAAGAGATACATGGTTTTGAATTGCTGCTTTTAATAACATTTTGTTATATTAAATTTATAATTAATGTGTCTGGTTTACAATGTAAAAGTTCCCTTTGAGAATTATCTGTACTGAGTGGTGAACTGCCAGCTGCTGAACACAGAAGAACTGATTCTGGCTTCTGCAGTTGGCTTCCTGCAGCTTAGAGGAGGATGGCAGGACCCCATCCTGTGGCCACCTTACCACTCCCTATAACATTCAGTAATGTTCCCACCCTTATTGTCAGAGAAAATGTAGGGCCTTTTATCTGCTGAGTACATGACCCATAAGGATACAACCTAGCTGAAGGCTGCAGGTAAAAGATAAAACATGAACTTAGATATTGAACCTGCTAAAATGCCTAAGTGCAGACACTGCAAACATTGCTCAGCACACACAGGCACACACTTCTAGAAACTGAGTTCCAGAACCCAGCTCTGATGGTTTCAAACAGTAGCACTAGTCAGATTCCTTCCATTTTCTCACCCTTCAAATTCCAGCAATAATTGCCACAGCACCTGGCTCCCCAAGGTTGGGAAGGGACCCTTCACATATATGACAATATTATTTCAAAATAAATCTCTTTAGTATTGTTTAGACAGAGAAAAAATGTGAAGGTGTAGGGAGAAGGTTGGTTTCAGGGAGATGACACCCATAAATTCACCTGGTTCCAGGTGGAAGTGTGCCCTGTTAATCCTGAGCGGAGGGCTGCTTAGGTGTACTGATAACTCCTACCCTGTGTCTTTGGTACTGCTCCTTTGGCTTCCACCCTTTAGCTGTCCTAGAAATAAAGCCACAGTGGGAGCCAGGGGAGGGGGTGGTTTCTTCTGTGAGCAGCTATCTAGATGCACCTGAGACCTGTGGGCCTCTTGGGTTGGAGGGTACCTGCTTCTCTGTGGTCTAGGGCAGTGTTTCCCAATTCACAGCATTTACCTTTGGAATTCAGGAATGAGAGATTAGAATTTCTAGAAATTCCAAACCCCAAATGTTTTTAAGATACTTCACTCTTCATACTCCTCTCAGTATCTGACAAAATTTTGTCTAGTAGGCATATTAAGCTTAGTACTATTTACAAAGGACTAGCCTGTAGGGAAAATTAAATGCTGGAGCATCTGTTAGAAACTATCCAAATAATGTGACATTTGAATATCCTAGAAAGGTTAACAGCACTTAAAATCAATCACATGTCCAAATAACTAACTTAAGAATCTATTTTGCATCTAAAGTTTATTTTTTGGAGCACCACTCACAGGATTTGTATAATATATACTATGTGTACAAAATTATTTTATTTACAAGAAAAACTCCCTGATAGCAGCAGACAGGACCAGACATACACACTTCTAACATGGCAACAACCAAAAAGCAAGATCAACTAATTCGATGGCGACAGTTTCCCTCTCACAAGCCAGGCCTGGGCTCTCGCTTCAGCTCAGCATGTTAGTATTTCCTGCTCTTGTTTTTTGCTCAATTAAGGTGGATTCTTTCTTTCTTTCTTTCTTTCTTTTTTTTTTTTTTAAAGAAAGAGTGAGAGAGAAAGAGAGAGAATTTTTAAAATATTTATTGTTTTTAGTTTTCGGCGGACACAACATCTTTGTTTGTATGTGGTGCTGAGGATCCAACCCGGGCTGCACGCATGCCAGGCGAGCGTGCTACCGCTTGAGCCACATCCCCAGCCCCAAGGTGTATTCTTTCAAATCAGTAATCTTTCCATACTAATAAGCTTTAGTATTCACAGGATAATTATGATACTTTCCCTCATTTCCTCAATTGATTTTTCTAGGGATTCTGGATTAAAAAAAAAAAAAAGCATGTTATCTAAGAAATTCTGGAAAGGAGTTCCCATACGGAGACTCTGGTCTAGGACCCAGCTCTGGCTTCTACAGCATCGTTCTGGGAGGGTGGTGTGGGATGGCAGCCACACCATGTAGACTGGAGTTACACAGACCCTAAACATCACTGGACACCTCTACCCCTTCATCTATGGAATGGGTCACGAGCCGCCAGATCTGTGGTAAGGAGTACACAGTGAAATACATGCCCAAAGGCCAGGCCAACTGGCTTCTATGTTTTAAGAACTAATAACTGCTGGGTGCGGTGGTGCATGCCTATGATCCAGCAACTTGGGGGACTGGGGCAAGAGGATCCCAAGCTCCAGGCAAGTCTCAGCAACTTAGTGAGACTGTCTCAAAAAATAAAAAGGGTTAGGGGTGTAGCTCAGTGGTAAAGTGCACCTGGGTTCAATCCCCAGTACCAAACCAAACAAAAATAACTCTTCCTTTAGAGCTGGCTACAGCAGGTTCTCTGAGCCTGTGACCTTCAAAGGGATCTATTCAGCCTCTTTCGATGTAAAGTAAAAGCTTTAAGTTTTGAATCAGAGATTGGGTTCACATGTAAGTGCTACTTTCTGATCTCAGATTTCATCTGCAAAATGAGGGTAACAAATAAGAACAACTGAAATATAGTATAAGAATATATATTATTTATATATTCTTATAAGATAATGTTAAGAAGCTAGGGCAGTACATAGTGGACAGAGCTGCTATTTAGTAAATGTCCCTCTCCCCTCCAGTGTACTACATAGTCAACTTTGGACACTGAGACAAAGGCAGGCTACCAAGCAAGTTTTCTGCAATATAATAACACAAAAGATGATTCAATAAAGACAACAGATAGAAAAATCTTCTTTGGAATTGTCCCACTTTAAGAAATTCAAAGAAAAGTTGAATTTTGCCAATTCAACAACTTAATAGTGAGTATGTACAGTAGAGAAAGCTTTGATCATTTAATTCCTTGGAACATCAGCCTCAGAAATATCTGCCAAACCCTGTGCAAGAGGTCAAGTAGATTTCAGTCGTGCCCCTGACCTCCAGCAACTCACAATCCTGCGATACAAGGCCAACTTTGATGCAGAAAGATAAAGGGAACACCAAGGCAGGATAGAGTCCTTACAGCTGGCAAGGCCTCAGAAAGGTCTTACAAAGGAGCAGTCACATGTCATAGGCATTGTCATAGGCATTTAGGCAGAGGGCATTCCAGACAGAGGGGACAGCATGAACACAGGAATAACATCAACAGCACAGTGAGCCATCTGTTAGCCAGAGTAGGAAAGGAGAGGTCAAGGGGGATGATGGAAAAGGTGAGTAAAGATTGTGAAGGGCTAGAAGGCCAGACCTAGAAATTGGACTTTATCCTAAAAGCAATAGAGTCAGTCCATTTGGGGTCCTCAGTACATTTTTAAGTAGGGTTTACTTTACACAAGATTTGCCTAAGTATCAGAAGCTGATCTGCTGTTAAAAAGAAAAGAAAAAATCAACAAGGGACATCATCATTAGCTCTATTCCTCTTTTCAGGCAGCCCCTGAAATTACCACTGGCATCCTCTGGACCTTTAGAAGTAAGCTAGAATAGGAGGGGGTCCAACACTCCCCAGAGGGTGTTATTCCATTTTTCTGTGCTTTTCTGTGTTTCTTTTAGGCATAAATTATTTTTGCAAATAGCCAGACCTAAAAGTCACCAAATTCCCTCAAAGCTCACTGAGGGGGTTTCCTGCAGCCTGTACAGGGCAGCAGTTGTGAGCACCTCTGCCACCTTTTGGGAGTCAAGAGCAAATGTACCCATTGCACAGGGGCACACAGCCACATCAAACGCAAACCTTGATGCTGAGAGCAGAAAACAGACAAGATGTGTGCTGAAGTCCTAAGCTGTGTGCAGTACCCACCAGGGCCCCCACACCAGCCACCAGAGACTATATTAGTCACTTCCACATGGTGCCATTCTGGAAACCCTGTCCCATGTGCTGTCTCCTTTGTGCTTGGGCATAAACTAATAAAACCTTGTTTAAGGGGCTGGGGTTGTGGCTCAGCAGTAGCGCACTTGCCTGGCATATGTGAGGCACTGGGTTTGATTCTCAGCACCACATATAAATAAATTAAAGGGCTACCAACAACTTAAACAATATTTWAAAAAAAAAGAAAGTGAAAACTACATGGTTCTTTGGAAATTTCTTTGTTCAATACAGAGTTAAGTATAGCTTCACTTTCATTAAAAAAAAAAAAAAACAAACAAACAAAAAACTTGTTTCAGTGATGTTGCTTCCCTCATCAAGATTTGTATCTCAAATTGAGCTAAAGAACTTTGCAGTCTCAAAAAAAAAAAAAAAAAAAAAAAAGAACTTTGCAGTCTCTACAATGTCTTCATGGCTGGGCCTTTGAGATCCTCCCCATTTGATATCTGGAGGACTCTAGGGTAGAAGCAGCACAGCAGGTTTCAGAACGAGGGCCTGACACTACCCAGCTCACACACCCTCTTTCTAGGAGAGACCAGGATACCACATCTGTCTTTCAGTTCCCACCCAAACCACCCATGTTCTCCTCAGAATGGAGCTACTTTGTGACAGATTCATGAAGGAGGCTGGAGCCATCTCTCTGGAGCTCACCACCTAGGGCTCAGCATCCCCTGCTCTCTTCCACCAGAGACTCATGGAGCAGGCCCAGGAGAGTCCCAAACACAGCTGAGCAGTCATGGTTGTACTATGTGGAACTCAGCATACCACCCCTTTTCTGGATCTCCATGCAGTTCAGTTTTCTTGAGTAATCTATAAAATGGAGACTGGTTTAAAAGTAGTGATTTAAAATTTGTCAATAAGGAAAATTTTCAAAACACTCCAAATCTTACAAGGGAACTTACCCCAAAGTGAAGGCACAATTGCACTGGTAGGAGTATGGGTATGTGTGTGGGTTGGGGGGATGCCCTTACTACCAGTTTTATGCCCTTACTACCAGTCAGGAATCCAGGTTACTAAAGCTTTATACAGCAAAATATGAAAAATACTGGTCTAGAAGGTTCCCAGGTTTCTATTTCTATGCTTAGAACTTGTTATGATTTAGATATGAGGTATCCTCCAAAAGCTCATGTGTGAGACAGTGCAAGAAAGCTTAGAGGTGAAATATTGGGTTATGAGAGCCTTAACCTAATCAGTATATTAATCCACTTGAATGATTAACAACTGAGTTGTGACTAGAAGCGGGTAGGGTATAGTTGAAGGAGTTTATATTTTGTTCCTGGTGAGTGAGAGTCTCTCTCTGCTTCCTAGTGCTATGTCCTGAGCTGCCTTGATGTTCTACCTCACCTCAGGCCCAAGAGCAATGGAGTTGGTCATCTATGGACTGAGACCTCTGAAACTGTGAGTGCCAAATAAACTTTTCCTCCTCTWAAATTGTTCTTATAAGGTATTTTGATACAATGACAAAAAAGCTGACTGGAACAGAACCTCTTCACTGAGCAAGGCACAGAACCTTCTGATGTCTTCCACATTCAGCCTAGGAAGGAGTCAAAACTTACTGCAATCCATGAAGCAGTGTCTAAGCACTAATGTTCCCCTAGTCACACACATACTCCCAGACTCGCCTCTTCAAGACTCAGGAACAATAAAAATCTCTAACTAGGAGCAATAATCCTGCTGATCCCTGAAATTCCACCATTGTAATGCATCCTTTTGAACAAAGTACTTGAGTACTTTCCAGTTGCTCTAGAATGAGGCACATACTTCCAGTTGAACAAGGTCATTGGGTCCATTCTTCCACAGGAGAAGCTGGGGCATGATAATACCCTAGGCATTCAAGGTCACCCTAGGCACCCTAGGTCAGTCCAGTAACCAAAAACGACAAACCTCACTTTCACTGTTACTTTCCCTTGGCCTCTACACAGAACTATCCTCACCCTCCCACTCTCTGCCATCTTTAAACAAAGTAGTACTTCAAGACAAGGTCCACTGGGTTTTTACTGGTATGACTGGTCCATCCTTCTCCAGCCTTAGGAGCCTTGAACACCTTCAGCCCACAGAGCTGCTCCTCTTTGCTGACAGGAACTTGGAATTCACAGATGCTGGGAGGTAGAAAGAGGCCTGCTCTTACCCAGAGTTCAGCAGCTGAGGGATAGAGGCAGCCAGCAGCACGCACCAGAAGCTTCCCTACTCAGTCTTCCTCCATGCCCTCCTCAAGCCACTTTAAATAGTGCACATCTCCTTGGTCCATGGGAAGACTGAAGACCTCTGGGATTTCAAAAGGATGCACCAACCTTTGGAAAGAAYGGAGAGCTCTGTGAATCAACCCATGTGATACGATCCGACTAGCCAGCCTCCTGAAAGGCCCTTTGAAATCTGCGACAGTCTACCTGGCTAGTGCCATAGCCCACCATTCCTGAGCCCATGTTTCTTAGCTGTCAACAAGCTAAGCTGGATCAGGTGGCTTTAGAGTCTCACAGACATGGTTCAAATTCTAAATTTCCTTACTAGCTGTAAGGACTATGGACAAGTCACTTCATTTTCTAGGGATAAAAATAATACCTATGTAATTAGATTGCTGGAGACTAAATAAGACAAGGTATATAAAGCACTTACCTAGTCCACCAACTGGCACTGCACACATTCTATTAGATGTTAGCCTCTGTTTTCATTAGTCTCCTATACACACTGTTCTAAATTCCCTCCCACAATTCCTCTGATTCTTCCCCACATAGAAAGTTCTTCCTGCTCCTGCTGATCAATCAAAAGCCTTTCTCTCCCTCAAGGTCCAGCTCAACCACTAGCCTGTTCTAAGGGATCCTCACTGACCATTAGGCCACAGAAATCCCTCCCTTCTCTCCTGTTTGTTTCACCTGGCTCTTGTCACACAATACAAGTTCTCTTCACTTTCCGACTGAAGAAACATGAGAATTTGGTTTCAGTTTCCCATTTGTCAAACAGGATAATAATTCTCTATGTCCTTTCTGCTGCTGAAAGAATCAATTTAAAGTTCTCATGACGTAACTTGATTAACAAATCACAACATGGGTGTAGGTGCTTAAACATGTGGAGTAAGTTGGATAAATTTTATCCAGTTTCTGAGGATAATGAATTTTTTCATGGACATCTAGGTAACTGTTTTTATAAACAAACATAAAGAGGCCAAAGTGCATATTTTAATAAGCACTTTAGTAGTAAGAGCTGCTGATGACAAAGCATCATTTCATATGTATACCTCACATATTAATTCCAAAACACATGACTATGATCACTATTTCAAAGACAAGACAGCGGAGGCACAAAAAGTATTGATATTCTGCATGTACTTATGGTACAACTAGCCAGTGGGAAGCCACATTTCAACATTAGGAGGTTAAGTTCTGGAGTTCTCACTCTTAACCCTGAAGCTGTCCCTGATGCGTTAAGTTATTTCTTGACAGTGTAGGTTCTACCCAAGATGTCTTACTCCCTCAACTCTGTTGAGATGGTAACATAAGGGCCTTCTCTATAGCAACATTTGAGACTTAGCTATAGCCTTATAGCCACAGATTCCTAGTTCTCTAAAAAGTGAAGGGAAACAATTTTATCATCCGAATAGGTGGTTCACATCTTTGGCTGCACATTCGAGTCAACCTGGGGTGCTTTTTAACAGTACCATACTAGCTGGGTACAACAGCATGCACCTGTAGGACCAGTTGAGGCAGGAGGATCACTTGAGCCAGAAGTTCCAACACCAGCTTCGGCAACATAGCAAGACCCCGTCTCAAAACTAACAACAATAATAATATCATACTTTGTTCCCATCCTAAACAAATTTAAAGTGGTAGTTTGAAAAATACCACTGGTTTGGACTATGGGAATTCCTGGAGAATATTACTAAGATGTAGTTTGATTCAATAGGTCTGGGGTGACCATGAGATTCTGCATTTCTAGCAAGTGTCCAGTGATATCAATTCCAAAACTTATACTTTGAATGATATAGGGTTATACCACTGGTTCTAAAAGTGAGGTCCACTAACCTCTAGGGGTCTCCAAGACTCTTCCATGGGGTCTAAGAAGTCAAAACTATTTATATAATAACACTAATTTGTCATTCATCTTTTTACTATGTCAATGTTTGTGACAGTGGTGCAAAAGCAATGATGGGTAAAACTACCTGCATGTTTACATATATCAAGCAGTGGCACCAAACCACACTATCATTGTACTCTTCACACCTGCATTTTTAAAAAAAAATATTTATTTTTAAGTTTTAGGTTGACACAATATCTTTATTTTATATTTATGTGGTGCTGAGGATCGAACCCAGTGCCTCATGCATGCTAGGCATGCACTCTACCACTGAGCCACAACCCGAGCCCTCACACCCGCATTTTTAAAAAGTCAGACATTTTTGAAGTGGTAAAAATTACTTTTTTTGAATTATTTTTTGACCTCTGAATACATGTCTTTTTAATATTCTGAATGGCAAAACAGGAAGTACACATAGGCATTTCTGTTGTGTACCTAGGTTCAATAGTCATTGAAAACAATCTGAGTCACAAGCTAAACTAGACATGGTTTTTTGTGTTTTTTTTTTTTTTTGTACTGGGGATTGAACCCAGGGGCATTTAACTACTGAGCCACATCCCCAGCCCTTTTTTATTTTGAGACAGGGCATCGCGAAGTTGCCAAGTCTGGCTTTGAATTTGCAATCCTCCTGCCTCAGTTTCCTGAGCTGCTGGGATTTTAAGCATGTACCACCATGCCCAGCTAGACATGCTTTTTTTCTTTTTCTTTTTTTTGCATAACATTTTTGCTTTCAAACCTGAATAACTGTAATTTGTCTGTCATTTTTACAAACTATAACTGAAGTCTTGAGTATTAGGAAGACATTTCCTCAAATAGAAACAAAGTGAACCCAATACTCAAATGAAGACAATTTATATGACTTATTAACATTAATAAAATTATGTTCTAAGACAAAATTAGAATTTTGAAAAATTTGAATTCATTACTGTAAGCTTAAAATTGTCCCAATACTTAAAGGTGCTCCTTTTTTTTTAATATTTATTTTTTAGTTGTACACAATACCTTTATTTTGTTTACTTATTTTTATGTGGTGCTGAGAATCAAACCCAGGGCCTCGCACATGCTAGGAAAGCACTCTACCGCTGAGCCACAACCCCAGCCCACTTAAAGCTGCTTCTTGAGGAGATCTAGCTATCTTACTAAACCAGATTTTGCAAAAATGTTAAAGGTTTTCACATGAGACTTTTTTTCTTTTTTAAATGCAGTCCTAGGGATCAAACCCAGGGCCTCAGGCATGCGGGCAACCTCTCTACCACTGAGCTACACCCCAGCCAGAAATGTTTTTTCTTGACACATGTTGACATCTGCCACCTCATTGTTTTCCCCAACTGGCTACATGAGGAACCACCCCAGGACAATTCTGTAGACACTTCTATATCTTTTCTCCTCCAAGTTCATCTTCAGTTCTTTTATTTTTCCCACTAGTTTTTGGCTTTGGAAACTATGATTGCTTTCTATAAAAATGCATGTATAGGACTAGGATGGGGGTGAAGTTCAGTGGTAGAGTGCTTGCCTAGCATGCAGGAGACCCTGGGTTCCAACTCTAGCACTAAAATAAATAGCACTATTTGTGTTAATATATAATGGTTTACTACTGTTATTTTTAATGACCTAAAACATTTTAAAAATTGCTCAGCTTTAATGTTTAAAACAGTTAACTTTTATTTTTTAAGAGAACAGACACAAAATTTATTAACATTCCGAAACATGAAAATCGAATACACCATGTCTGAAATTTAGAAGTGGAAGCTTCTAAACCTTTTCTCAGAGGGGGAAGGGAGATAGGCATGTGTATATATGATTATTAGGGAAATGAATGGACCCTGGAGACAGAAATTAGTTTGTAAAATGATGCTCTCAAAACAGTTAATTTTTTTTTATTAACCCACAACAAAGCTCTTTTTGGTCTAAGTAACTTTTAAAAGTGTGAAGGTTCTGAGACCAATATTTTGAGATCCACTGATTTAAACTATCTCATTCTAGCTCCCTATTTTATAGAAAATCTATGATTCAGAAAGAGACAGGGACTTGCTCAGAGTTATATGGGAGGTTGATGGCTAGGTTGCAGATTTCCTGCTTCTGAAGCTACTCATTTGGTCCCCAGAAGAAGAATTTGCCTGTCTGTCGTGAGAATGAGTGAAGAGATGTTAGTCTTACCTTATAAAGCCAGACAGCATGAGGACCTTGGAAGTTTTTGTCTTAATTAACTGTAAAGGAAGAAAAAAACCACTTCTTTAGGACTGAGCCCCAGCTTTGCCCTGCTCATTTACCTAGCCATTTAGCAGTTAGCATTCCTCCCAGGTCACCAGGTCATGTCAGGAGCTCACAAATGAACTTCATGCATCTGAAGTGAGCAAGACCTTCAGTCAATTGATTTATGTTAATTTTCACTGGAACCTGGGAAAAGGTCTTAGTCTTACTCATTCTCTTACCCAGACCACCTCTTCTCCTATCCTTACTTACCAATAAGACCTCAGTGGCTTCTTCTATTTCTCCCTTCCAAAAAAAACTAGAAAAGAAAGCAAAACCAAATTGTGAAGCTCATAAAAGGAGCCCAGGGAATTAAATGTCAAACCTGGCCAGAATAGGTGACTTACTAAGAAGGAAGCTAAAATCTTTCTAAGTCCATATCAAGAAGTCTAGAGTTGGTCAAAGCCCCACAAATCATCTAGTTCCATCATTCTAACACATGCATCTAGCAGCTTCCAGAACATTCCTGGAGGTGGGAGGTTCACCATCTCTTGAAGAAGTCCCTCAAACTTAAAGGTTTTCACATGAGACTTTTTTTTTTTTTTCTTTTTTAAATGCAGTCCTAGGGATCAAACCCAGGGCTTCAGGCATGCGGGCAAGCTCTCTACCAGCCAGAAATGTTTTTTCTTGACACATGTTGACATCTGCCACCTCATTGTTTTCCCCAACTGATTACATGAGGAACCACCCCAGGACAATTCTGTAGATACTTCTATATCTTTTCTCCTCCAAGTTCATCTCCAGTTCTTTCTATGTTTATCCTATATTCATGGCTTCCAGTACCCTCCCCGACCCTTTGACTAGTGTTGCTATGATCACTGACTTTCAAAGCTGAGTGCCCATGAATGGATGAATGAAAAAATTCAGAAGGCTTCAGGAGAATTAAACCTTGTAAGATACACACACTTCTAGAAATGAAAAATAAAATCAGTGATGATGTTCAGAATAGAGTGTAAGAGCTGGGTACAGTGGCACACGCCTGTAATCCCAGCAGCTTGGGAGCTGAGGTAGGAGGATTGTGAGTTCAAAATCAGCCTCAGCAATTTAGTGAGACTCAGACATCACTTCATCACCTCCCTTATATAGAGACTCTGTCTCTATATAAAATATAAAAAAGGGCTGGGGTTGTGGCTTAGTGGATTCAATCCCTGGTACAAAAAAAAAAGGAGAGGAAAGAGAAGAAGAAAAGAGTTTAAGAACAGCATCATAGGGCTGGGATTGTGGCTCAGCGGTAGAGCGCTCACCTAGCACGGGTGGGGCCTGGGTTCGATCCTCAGCACCACATAAAAATAAAGGCATTGTGTTGTGTCCATATACACCTAAAAAAATAAATATTAAAAAAAAAGAACAGCATCATGGGAAAAGGGAGAGATTTAGCCTGAGATGTACATTGACCCAGGGTAAATCTAAGATGACGTAGGCCATGGGCCCTTCCCTGTCACAGCTTTGGTAAATATAAGAATTCTAAGCTGATATTCTATTCTGGTTACAAAATACTCATTTCCAGACTGGATGAATAGTGAATCACCTATAACATTTTTTTTTTTTAATGCTTAGAATTGAACCCAGGGCCTTGCACATGTAGGCAAATGCTCTACTACTGATCTACCTCCCTAACCCTTGTTCTGCTTTTTAAAGATTCAAAGGCCTGGGCCCACCCACTAACTGAACAGATCTAGTCTGGAGTTCAGGGAATTGACATTACAGCCAAATTTGGGAGCCACTGCCATAGATGATGTGAACAATAACAGAGTAACATTACTTTTTCCTTCTCTCTCTATAAACAGCATATTTTTGCTTTCCTTGGATGAGATAAACTACTTGATTGATCTCCTCTGAATATAAGTCAACTGTGAACCACTGACTAATTTAATACCTTTGAGTTATTCTTTGGTAATTCCCATTAGTTTAGTGCTCTTTCCACCAGCCAGGACCTGACCCTAAGACTCCCAATTCCCCTTTATTGGCCATAGCAAAACTCACAGTGAAGATGTCTTGGGCAAGATGTTCACAGAGGCAGCCAGTTTCTTATCTAGTATGCCCCTAAAGCAAAGAGAAAAGGTAGCATTCACTAGAGCAAGTCCCAGGATCTAAAGAGAAAGGATGGGAACAGGGGTTCTTGGGAATTACCTTGGAAATCTAAATCTAAGTAGAAAATAATTTAGGATGTCCCTCCCCTGCTTTGGTTTAGTCCCCAGATTTCATGTGTTAGAAATTTTATCCTGTTAACAGTATTTGTGAGGCTCTTGGGAATTAATAGCTGCGTGGAAATGTGGGGCTGAAGCTGCTGCAGGATCCACTAGGGCAATGCCTAGTAGAGCCACAGGGGTTGGACTGCCACAGAGACCCGGGATTATAGAGCTATATGGCGGGCAAGTAAGAGCTATCAGCTTACCCAAGTGAGCTGAAGCTGTACTGAGGTGGAGGCTGGGCTGCACAAGGCCTTGGGGGCATAACCCCTGTCCCAATATATCCAGGAAGGGGAACATGCAATTATGGAAGATGGTTCTAGGGCCTTTAGATTTAATGCTGTTCATCCTGTTGGGTTTTGGACCTCCATGGAGCTGGTGACTCCTTTCTTTTTGCCTGACTTTTCTGTTTAGAATGGGAACATCTGTCCTATGGCCTGTTTCACCACTGCGCTGTAGAAGTGTGTAGCTCCTTTGATTTTTCAGGCCACAGTAGATTAAATTTGCCTCAGGCATGCTTTCAGTCTCACCCGAATCTGATTCAGATGAGAAAATGCACTTTGGACTTTTGTATTATTTTTGGAACCAGTTAAAATTTGGGGGTTTATTGTATTTTGCATGTGAGGACATGGATATTGGTGGCTAGAGGCAGAAGTTATGGTTTCAGTGTGTCCCCAGAATTCCCTAAATCATGTTAGTGGATTTGGAGGTGGGGCTTTTAGGTGATTAGGATTACCTGAGGTCATGAGGATGGCACCACCATGAGGGCATAGGTGGCATTATAAGAAAAGGGAGAGAGACCAACCTAGCATACTTGCTCTGTATCACCATGTGATGTTCTCTGCCATATTATAAAGCAGGAAGTAGGCCCTCACTAGATATCAGCACCATACTCTTGGAGTTCCTAGCCTCCAGGACCTTAATCTAGATAAACCTTTATTGTTTATAAATGACCCAGCTTGTGGTATTCAGTTACTGCCACAGAAAACAGACTCAGACATCACTTCATCACCTCCCTTCAGAACAGTCCATAAACAGCATGCATAGAACCTCTGAAGACAGAGCTGTTTCTATGTACTTTTCTGGGTGAGAAGTAAAAAAGCAGCTATGGGAAGGAAGTTTTAAGGAGAGGCCCAGTCTGTCTGGGGTCTGGGCAGTAATTAACATTGGACCTAAAGAAGATCCGAATTCCATTTCCAGCCCTGCTGTAAGATGGCTATGGGATCTTAAGTAAGTTCTTTCTTTCTGTCCCTCTCCTACTTTGGGGAAATAAGCAACCTGACCTGCTATACAACAAGACTGGTTTGGCCAGTGGTTTTCAACCTTTCCTATTCCCAATAATTTCTTTTATTATGCTACCTCTACCTTTAACCACCAAAGATAATCTAGCTGAGACACTAAATGCTTCTAACTGTATTATTTAGACACTAAATGCTTCTAATACCCATGTGACCACACAAAACTAATACAATTCCAAGCAAAAGCAAAAAGAAAAAAAAAAAAAAAAAAAAAAAAAAAAAAAAGCATCATGTTTTGGCAAATAGACCTTTTCATCTTTCTTTCTTTTTTTAAAGGAAACCAAGGGAACCTCACCTCTGTTCTCTGAAGTGCTTGGACCTAGCCAAACAAACCTTATCTGAGCCCTGCTCACTGATTCCTCTTTCCCTCAGCCGTTACCAAGAGAACTGACTTCTTTTCTTTTTCCTTGAGCCCCAAGCTGAAGAGTATTCTATTTAAGGCTCCATATTCACGTGACATTATCACCACTGTTACTCTCTTGGAAAATTATCAACTGTAAGAAGAGACCTGTCACACAAACTTGTTCAAGCAACTGCTGTGAGCCTTGTTCACTCAACCACTCACTGCGAAATTACATTTCATTGGTTCTCCCGGTGTTAAGCAAATGCAAGGAGCAAGTTACACACCCATGGAAGATAATCACATTGCCTCAGAAGCCCTTTCCCAAATATGAACTCCTCAGCAACTAATAATAGCAACCTGTCTTTAATATGGAGGGGTTTTATACAAAAAGTCCCTAAAGGGCTGGGTCTGTGGCTCAGTGGTACAGGGCTCGCCTAGCATGTGTGAGGCCCTGGGTTCGATCCTCCGAACCACTTAAAATAAATAAATAAATAAAATAAAAGTCCTATGTCAAACTACAACTAAAATATATATATATATATATATATATATATATATATATCCCTAGAGCATTATAAAAGAGAGTAGGGAAGAAGAGAGGCTGACTGAATTCAATTTTAAAACAGACACACAAACCCTCAAAACCAGTAGAGAACCACACATGGGGAGCTCAGGATTTAGGAAGCAGAAGGGAGAAGTGCAGAGGTCACACAGGGTAGTGGCTCAAAGAGCAGATACATGTTGGTCCTCATGACATTTTAAAAAATCTTGACATTGGCCAGGCGCAGTGGCACACGCCTGTAATCCCAGCAGCTTAGGAAGTTGAGATAAGATGATCGCAAGTTTCAAAGCCAGCCTCAGCAACTCAGTGAGCCCCTGTCTCTAAATAAAATACAAAATAGGGCTGGGGATGTGGCTCAGTGGTCAAGTGCCCCCGAGTTCAATCTTGGGTACCCCCCMAAAAAATCTTGGCTTTATTAACCAATATTTAATATAGAATGTATTTCACACCCCAAACAATACAGATTATCTAGCTTCTAGCAAAAAGAAAAAAGTGAATCTTCCAATATTGGRCCTGCAGGTCAAATTTAGCCACGCTAGAGCTGAGCAGCAGCTGCTCCCTTGAGGCATGAAATACTCTTCTCAGGTCAACACAGTTCCATTGCTCTTTCCTCCCAAAGCCTAGGAAGCACCATCATTATACACCAGCCCACTTCTCATTTACCTGATTACAGGCATTTTCTTTCTTTCTTTTATTTTTTTGTTTTTTTTGGTACTAAGGATTGAACTCAGGGCACTTAACCATTGAGCCACATCCCCTGCCGCAGTATGGCTGGGCACAAAATCATGAGCCACCATACACCTTGTAAATTCAAACAGCAACTCTTTATTCCCGAACTCACACCGGCCCTCTACAAACACGTTCTAGGGAAATTCACGTTCTGCCCGCCAAATTCACATACTCCACCAGGCTTTGAATCCCAAATACTTTCTGAATCCCATGAGAACTCATCGGAACTCAAGGATCGGGCATGCCTGAGGCAGCAGGATGCGCCCTATTTCCAGCAGGGTACACCTTAAACCTGGAACCGCCCTAAACACAAGGAGCAGGATACTCCCTAAACCCAGATCCGCCCTGGTCCTTGAGCAAGGTCACCTCTCATGCAATGTCCTACTTGGCAATGGCCCTCAGCATCTCTCTCCTTCTGGTTAATAAAACAACAAGCAATGTGGCTTAAGGACCATGCCTGGTAGGTTGTCCAATTCAACATATGGTTCTTACCCGTCATGGGAAAAACTGACCTCTAGGCGTCAGCCTCCTGTCTTAGGTTGATACCACTGCAATTGGATCATACCAGTCACTGACTACCGGTCCAGCATACAGCCATACTTGTGGATAGGCCTATGCACCAGTGGGGGGGTGAGGTTCTTGCCTCACCTCTGTTGGCAACCAAATTTAGCCTTGGTGCCAGTGGGGGGGTGAGGTTCTTTGCCTCACCTCTGTTGGCCCCCAAATTTTAGACCATCACTAGCAGAAGGGAGGAGGATACAGAAATGCCACGACACCAAGCCAGTTGACGGCTCCTTTGGAAAAATTGTATCACTGGTGACACCATCAGCAAACATATGCCAGCACTACCACAATTAACATGGGGTGCGCTGGCAATCCCCAACCCATTTTTGCATTTTACTTAGAAATGGGATCACAATGAGTTGCTTAGGGCCTTGTTAAATTGCTGAGGCTGGCTTTGAACTCATGATCCTCTTGCCTCAGCCTCCCAAGCTGCTAGAATTACAGGCATGTGTCACTGTGCCTGGCTGCCTATAGGCATTTGATTGTTATTGTGACACTGGACTASTTTTAGTCTACTATTAACTTCAAGAAGGCTGAGTTGTAAAGCAAGAAGAAAAGGAACACAGAGCCACGGCCATTACTTCTCAGCCTCACTAATTCTCTTCAACCTGTATCTATAAACAGAAGGGGGAAAATTCAGATATAATAAGCATTTTCTGAGCACCTACTATATTTACTGGGGTATGCACTGTTTATATTTCATCTCATTTAATGTTCACCACCACTCTGTGAGGCAGATGGCATAATGCTGTTTTATAATTTAGAAAACTGATGCTTCAAGAAGGGAATCAGATGTGACTTGGCTGTACATACTTGCCTACCATGCTCAAGGACCTGGGTTTGATGCCTAGCACTGCCAAAAAAAAGAAGAGGAAAAGGAGGAAGTGGAAGAAGAGACACAGCTCGGCCAAGATCACATACATAGTAAATGGCATATTCACATTGAAATCCTGGCCTAGTCCAGTATTCTTTCTAGTWTGTAACAGCTGCTTCTAGAAAACAGCCAAATACTTGAAATGACCTCCTCCTCCTTACTTATGAACAAAGAGAGGTGGGTCAGCAATTTGGAGACTTAGATTACAAACCTGCAGGGTTCCACAACTCTCTTATCTTAACGCCTTCAGCAAACCACCTCTCTCTGGGCCTCAGATCCCTTTTATGCCCTCCTGCACCACTTGACATTTTTAGGCCCTGCAGCAGCATCAGTTGGGGGATCATTTGGCCATGCTCCTTGTATCACCCCAAGCAGACAGCTGTAGAGTTCATTGGACAGGCAGGTTTGTGAGAAGCAAGAGAAGGGCCCAAATTAGTCCCTCTAGAGCTTCTTAGAGCTTCCCAAGTCTTCTGGGGCAGCACCTTAGCCCATGCACTATACCTGGCAATGTCTCTAGCAATTTGCTCGTTGGGACAGTTGACAAAGACGATGGAGTGTGTGCCAGAGATATAGCTGCCGGTGATGGCTGAGTGAAGCTGTAGGCTAAGGGTCCTAAGCATGGGGTACATCAGAAAAGAAGTTGCCAGGATCTACACAGTGGAAAAGAAAAGCACAGGTCAGTGACTCCCATCTCCAGCAGACTAGAACCAAGGCTGATATCATTTTTTCATCCCCCAACCCCATCTGTAAAATAACCCCTGAAATCTACATTGAGTTTTCATATTTTCCTCTGCATATTTTAGATGAGAAAGAAAATGGAGGCTCACAATTCAAAAAACTTTTTCAAAATCATATAGCTTTAATTGGTGAAGCCAGGATTTGGACTCAAGCCTGGATGACTTCAAATCCTTTTTTATTGTGCAAAACTCCTAYTGCTGGTGATACTAACGGGCATCCACTGAACTGCCATCATTATGTGAAGATTATTATGAATGATAAACTCTTAATCTATTGATTTTCAAGGAGTAATTTCACCTGCGTTCATTTGTATATGCATTAGGGAATGTCAGACAATCTAGTGCAAACAGTAGGCTTGTGAACAGATCAATTCTGAAACAATGTAACCTGGGCTGCTGTGCTGGGAGGACCAAGAGGAAAGCTGTGCTAGAAGGAGCAGGAAAAAGCTTTGAAGAGAAGGAATGAGGTAGGACTGAAAAGAAGAAGTCATCTGAGTTGGATCTGAAATAAGTAGGATTATAAGAGGGTGCTCTAAGCAAATGATAATATGTACATATTCAAGAGGTACAAGGGACAGATGAAATATCCAGTCTGTACCAGATTTGCATGGGATAGTAAGAGTAGATCAGAGAAAATGAGGTTGGCTAGAATTATACAGAAAAGGGTCAGGCCACAGAGTTGGGGGTTTGCACTCAGGTGACTGAGTGCTTTTAGAGGTTTTTAAAGTAAGACARTAATAATATGGCCAAGCCAAGTAGCATTATAAAAGGGCTGGGAATGGGGAATGATCAGAAGGCAGCCTACTTAGCCATTTTAGTAACCCAAGAAAAAGACATTGAGATCCTGAACTGGGGTTGGGATTGTGGCTCAGTGGTAGAGAGCTCGCCTAGCATGCACAGGGGCCCTGGGTTCAATCCTCAGCACCACATAAAAATAAATGAATGGAATAAAGGAATTGGATCCAACTACAATTAAAAAAATAAATATTAAAAAAAAATTCTGGACTAAGGTGGCACTGACCATGTGAGAGGAAAAGGCATTCAAGATATAACTTCTTTTTATTTTAATGACAAACATCCAAAATCGGGGGGAATAAAAAGAACTGGAGATCCCTTCTATTCCAGGATTCTCCGTTTGGTGGACATAATGGAGCTATTAACAGGGACAGAGGCAACTTGCAAGGAGTCAGGCAGGGACTCAGCAAGGCTGAACAAGAACTGCTTCTCCTGCTTCCCAGGCCAGGGATCCGGCTTTGCTCAAATGAACCTCTGTCCTCCCTTCTCATTTTACATTATCGCCTCTGTCCTAGCTCCTACTTGTTGGCAGGGCCTGAGTAGTGGTTTTATATCTTTAGCTGCAGTTTGACCTCAGGCCTTTTGGGTTGGGTTTTTCATTCCCTCCCACTATCTCCACAGTGCCTCAGTCTCATATTAGCTCTTTGAACCAAACCAAAAACCATGCAAGAAAAAAAGAACCAGGCTTTTCAAGGAAGCTTTTACTGTTATTTCTTTTTGACAACTCAATTGGACCATAGCAGGAAAAAATAGAAGGACTAGAGGGCAGGATTTAAATCCTAGTGCCAGTACAGATAGCTGTCTGTGGCCTGCCAAGTTTCTTCCTCTTCCTTCTATAATCCTGATGTAAAAACTGGAGATTATGACATTCATGCTGCGTAACTCAAGAGCTGATAGGGGTTCAAACAAGATGGGAAAAGCAATTTGTAATCACTAACTCAATAAAGGAAGGGCTGTGTTTAGTTCACCATTCTCCTCACCTCAGTTCCTGGCACACAGCAGGTTCTCAATAAATACTTGTGGATTAGTGAATTAGTAGCACACAAGTGAAATGCTGTTGCTAAGACTAAATAGCCTTGTGAAGAAGGCAAGGCTTCTGCGTCACCCACTATGAGCAGTGCTTTCAGAACACTGTATGGTATTCCAGCTACATGACTCTAAAGAAGCTTCCAGCACCACTCTAAAGAAAAGGAGTATTCAGCCAGGCATTGTGGGAGGCCTAGGCAAGTGGACTGCAAGTTCAAGTCCAGCCTGGGCCACTTATGAAGACCCTGTCTTTAAAAAAAAAAAAAAAAAAGAAGAAGAAGAAAAGAAAAAAAAGACTGAGGAGGCAAAGTGCTCCTGGTGATCCCCAGTACCCCCAAATAAATAAATAACCAACCAAGAGGTAGATGGGCCCTCAGGTATTATCTAAGACAACCCTTAATTCAACAAATAAGAAAACCAAGGTAGAACATACAGAAACTCAGTGATAGACCAATTCTTGCCTCCAAGACTCCTGACTTCCATTCTGACTTTTATGCTTTGCAATAAGCAAGACTAAGAATGGATTCAGGGCATCCTTGAAGCTTTGTTTTATCCAGTGCTTCTCAACTCAGGGAGATTTTGCCCCTCTGTGTACATCTGGCAATGCTTAGAGACAATTCTGACTGTCATGACTAGGGAAGAGGTACCATTGTCATTTAGTGGGTGGAGACAAGGCTGCTGCTAAACCTCCTTCTGTTGTGCCATTCACAGAATACAATGAAATACAGAGTATTCCTACCACATTACTATCTGGGAACAGACTATATGCCTGAGAAATGTTTATGGGCCACATCAGTTAAATATCAGAAGTAAGAAAGGTCAGTTTGGACCCCAAAGTGGACTATAATATTTTAAAAAGTAACATGTTATGAGTGTGAAACCAGTGAAAAATATACATATCACAACATTCCCAAACARAAACAGTTACTATCATAGGAAAAGAGTCACCATAAATTTTAACAAAAAGCCTTTTTATTATAAAGCCTTCATATTTATGTCCTTTACTATACACCTTTTCATATTGATGTCTTTTTAAATATACCTTATCTAATTTAACATTCTTGTAAAATATTTTATGTACCCTTTCAGTAATTTCCTATTGTATTCAATCTTTCTCCTTTTTTTGTCCTAGAATATGTACACAGCCTTTCAGAGGCTATGGTTGACTTTACAGCCTGTGACAGGCAGAAGGGGCCTCACTAATCACCAAAGCCAGTGGCACTAAACCTGTAATCCAAGGAATCTGTAAATACCCTGAAGTCAAATGCAATATTGAGCTTATCTATACATTTTCCTGGAGTACAAATCCAGAGCTTTCAAAAAAACAATTCAATGAGATTTACAGTCCCCAAAAGTTAAGAGCCACTGATTTGTGCCAATTTTGACAGATAAGGAAATAATGATCAGTGAATGGGAGCAATCACTCCCAAAAGTAAGGGGTAAGCTGGGCTAGAACCCAGGGCTTCTAACCCTCTCCTAGGCTTTTTCCCCATTCTCACTTCCAACATCAATTTTAAGATATTTCAGATGAGAAAACAGTCCCAGAAAAATTAGTCTATTATACAACAGGAAAAGGAAAGACTCTATCATGAAACACTTAAGTGGGACTTTATCAGCAGATACCCGTTGCCCTCCCCCACTCTAGCAAAGAAACAGCACACTCATCTGTCCCTAGAAGTCAGGAGTAAAGGTATGGTGGTAACCTTGAGAACCACAACACTATCTCCAAAGGATCTTACCTACCTGCCCCCAACTAAAACCCCAGGACCAGTCAAGAGAAATATGCCTTCTTCTCCTCCATCCTTCTCCTTCTGTCCCCAGGCTAAAGGTTTAAGGATGAGGGGGTTTCACCCTGTAGACTAAGGACTCACCAGAAAGCATATGAGGACAGAGGGCCGCGAGTAGCCTGGCAGAGGGCACCGTGATCCCAGCCTGTCCATGGCTTTGTTGGTAATTTAGCACAAGGCAGTGGCAGTGAATTACAGTCTCAGGCGGGGTGCTGGCTGGTGGGCGGGCACTGAGGGCCTTATCTGCCCTTTCCCCACAAGGCCTCTGGTCTGCACACTGCATGCCCCGCCCCAGCCAGGCTGGCCAAAGACACTGTAGGAAACTGGGAAAGGGAGGTTATTTTCACTGGGCACACCTCTCCCTTGAAACTTACAACCTAAGCACTCAGACCTATAACTCTTGCAAAAATATATGCTATTTTCTCTTTCCATTCCAACAAACAAAAAGGCATGTCCCCAGAAACATACAGATAAAGACATAAACTTTCAGAAACCACAGCACACAAACACTAAAACACATACACAAAACTCTTCTCTAAAGAGCTTCAAACTACCTATAAACAAGGGAAGCACAGAATGTAACTCTTACACAATGTGGCCCCCATACTGCCCCCTCCTCCGAGGAGCTCCCCTAATTCTCTTTGGCTTAGAATACTCTTGCCCACTTCTTCACTTCCTAATAAACTCATTCCTTTTCCCAGGCCAACTGCCCTGGGAGCCTTTCTCAGAGTTAATCTCAGTCCTCTTCTAAAGACACACTGCGCTTGTTTTGGAGAGTGGCACATAAAACCAGCAAGCCAAGGGCTGACTGTTGTCCCTTGGGAATGCAGAGTTCACTGCTACTACAGTTTCCAAATTTTTAATATGCCTTTTTATTATAATGCCTTCATATTTATGTCCTTTACTATACACCTTTTCATATGCTATTTTCTCTTTGCAGCTTTTCAATGTGAAATATCCCAGTTTTAAAATGATGGCAAGTTAGCACAGAGGAAAAGCTTTAGTGCACAGGTAAACTGTCTCAGGGAACCATTTTACATCTTAATTGTTCTGGTGGCAGTTACACAGGTATGAAAAAAATTCAACTGGACACTTCAACAGGTGAATTCTATTGTATGTAAATAGTTTCTTAGACAAAACAGGAAATACTGAAAAACAATTGAAAAAATTTTCAAAATGGAAGGAAAACAACAAAATCTTGTTTGCAGATTTGCAGTTCATAGCTTCCCTGTTTATTCTCATCACCTGTTCATCTGTCTCACTTGTTGAGACTACAATTTCCTTTTCTGGAGCTACTGGGAATTTAACCCAGGAGTACTTACCACTGAGCCACATGCCCAGCTCTTTTATTTATTTATTTTTATATTTATTTTTTAGTTGTCACAATACCTTTATTTCACTTATTTATTTTTATGTGGTGCTTAGGATCCAACCCAGGGTCTCGCATTTGCGAGGCGAGCGCTCTACCGCTGAGCCACAACCCAGCCACTCTTTATTTTTTGAGACAGGGTCTTGCTAACTTGCTGAGGCTGGCTTTGAACTTGAGATCCTCCTGTTTCAGCCTCCCAAACTGAGCCACTGGGATTACAGGTATGCGCCACCATGGCCTGGCTAAGACTACAAATTCTTTTATTTTTTTTAATACTAATACATTTATTTATCTTATTTTTTTAATTTATCTTATTTTTTTTGTGGTGCTGAGGATCAAACAACTACAAATTCTTAAAGGCCTGATAGACTTATGAAAATGTCTGACAAAGTACTTAATCGTTTGTAATCCTAATCCTGTTGTTTACATTAGCTGTGCAGACTCAAGCAAGTTTCTTAACCTCTCTGGGTTTGAAGGGAGGTTTTTGATAAATGGAGGGCTAATAACTTCCTTCATATGTCTGGAGTGAGGATTAACAGATTAATGTTGAGTGCTTTATAAAATGTATGATCATGTCACCATTTCAAAAAGAAACAGTCTCATGTCAACCACCAACACCTGTTTGTAACTGAAAAATTTAACATATATGGTTAGAGGCTGAATGGTCCTAAGAAAACCTTTGTATTTTAAGCCCTCTAAAATAAACTGGGGCCATGATCTCTCATACTAATCATCCATAAGAATGGGTACTGTTAATGACCATTTACCTCAGATCCTCAGATATTTCCCGAGTTGATGTCCCAAGTTTAGAACAGGACTCTATACAGAATTTCCACTCAATATCTGTTGAATGACTAAGTGTTACAGATGTGTCTGATGATTACAAAGATGATAGTAGTGATGAAGGTGATGTTGAGGTAATGAGAGAATGATAATAAGATGAAGTGTTATTTGGAAGAAGCAACCTCTGGATCCACTCTGTCCTTCAACTCAGACACCTCTACTCATTCCAAATTCAATTCCAAGGTTAGATTTTAGAACTCCAATTATAGCTTTGACAGTTTTTTCAGCTATTATCAAGTCTTAGTGCCACTGCCAGGAAGCTTTTTATTCTGTACCTTTTCTCTTTCCTTCTCCTCCTCCCTATGGAATTGATTCAGGCTGACTTTGAGTAAGACTCAGACTTCCCCTGCAACACAGATACTACACCCATCTCTATCATTTACTTCGTTTATTTCTCCCTTATCACTTCCTTTATTGTTTATTTCTTCCTTCAGTTCCTTTAAGTTTCTTTTGCACCTCTCTATAGACATAACAGCAATTTACTGTAATCTTTTTTGGGGGATTGCACTGGACCACTGAGCCACATCCCCAGCCCTTTTTTGTATTTTATTTAGAGACAGGGTCTCACTGAGTTGCTTAGTGCTTCGCTTTTGCTGGAGCTGGCTTTGAACTCACAATCCTCTTGCCTCAACCTCCCCAGCTGCTGGGATTACAGGCATGCACAATGGCAACCAGCTCTGAAATCTTTTTTAAATGTCAAACTTCAATCCAAGAAAGGATTTGTATCAACTGCAGAATCAATGAAATCTGAGGCATCATTTAAGACAGCAATTTCTTTAGCTGTATCTTTACCTCTAGTTGGGGACTGGTCTTCTTCATCATCTATGGATATAGACTCTAAATTATTCCCAAAGATTGGAACTTTAGTAATTCATTATTTTCACTTTCCTTTATATTGATGCAGACAGATTTTTTTTCAACTTCTTCATTAGCTCTGGGGAAACATGCATACGCATTCAAAGAACATCCTTCCAATCTTTCCACTAAGCCTTATTTAAAACGGCTGTTTTTATACCATTCATCACTTCTTTTACCACTACTTCAGTAATGTGGCAATGTTGTCATGTTTCTTTTAAAGTAAGCTTTTTGTCAATGCAGTCAGCAAGGTGGTCAAACATATGGTTGACGTAATACCTCAGTTATACCATGATTCAAGRGCTGGAGAAAGCTAGTGTCTTCCAAGGAAAGAAACCCAAAAACATCAAATAATGAGCAAATAATGAGTCCGGGTAATCAGGACTTTTTTCCACAACTGGCAACACTCTGAATTCAAGTTTTTTGTGCTTTTTTTTTTTTTTTTCTGTTAAACACACTTAGGTTTCATGGATAATCTAATTATAAAAACCAATCCAAAAAGAAGGTATTGTAAAAAATCTTCTTCCAAAAGAAAAGTGGGATTAAGGTCTTTGTGAAGCAGCAATGTATTCATCATTTTGTCCCGGGAGACATTGACACACAAAATGAAGGAAATCCTGTCCTTAAGTTTCCTCTAAGCTTTCCAGATTATTGTCTATTTCCTTAAAAGTATGGGAAGGCATGCGTTTCCAAACTAGGCTCATCTCCTTGGTATTGAGGACCTGCTGAGGCACACTGCTTCTCTCTCTGATGAGTCGCTCCAATTGCTTGGACTGTTTGGGTGCCAACTCAGGATTTAACTGTTCTTCCTTCCCCATCAACTGTATATTTCACAGTATTTATTTTTAAACTTCTCAAACCATTCCTGGCTCGCAGGAAACATATCTGAACCGCCCTGACCACTGGTTTCCACCACATGCAATACAGATGCGTTCGGCCTGGGTGCAGAGGCCGTGGCAGTCAAGAGGCCGCCTTCTGTGCTCTGCCCCTCCTCTCAAATGGCTACCGAGGTCTCCATCTTCTTGGGGTCTACCTCACCGGAATCTTGGAGCAGTCGGGCAAAACACTCTCCATGCCGGCCCAAACAGCCCTCTTGTTTTTCTCCATCACGAGTACTGTTGACTCGGCGACACCAAAAAGGCGCCCCACGATCGTATTACTCACGCCTTCGTCCAGCTTCTCGAGAATTTTCATCTTGCCTTCCGAGGCAGAACCCTCCGCCTCCTCCAGACAGGCGTGTGGCCCAGGATCTAAGTTCCCCCAAGGCACAAAGCCGGGAGGCCTCCACAAAGGCGGCTCTTTCCAGTGCCAAAGGTCTGGTTTGAAGGCGGGGAGGCCATCTCCAGGCCGTCTGACTGCCGACAGGCCCTCATCCTCTCGGCTCCGCTGGCTGGGCATCCTATGAGGGTTCCATTCCGCCTGTCCACCAAGCTGCTGGGAAAAGCGGGAGGAGTAACTGAGTACAGTTCCTCGTGACGTCAGACCGAGGTGCTAGATCACTGGCAACCTGAGATGTTCCAGGAGTCTCGCGAGACTTGGCAGACCTAAAAGGAGCCTGCGTTCAACCCATCTCGCGAGGCTTGGAGAAGCGCCTCGGGAACCTGCTGGCCCGGCGGGCAGGAGCCGGCAAGATGGCGGCGCAGGCGCTGGCGCTGCTGAGGGAGGTGGCTCGGTTGGAAGCGCCCCTGGAGGAGCTGCGTGCGCTGCAATCGGTGATACAGGCGGTGCCGCTTAACGAGCTTCGAGAGCAAGCGGCGGAGCTGCGCCTGGGCCCGCTTTTCTCCCTGCTTAACGAAAACCATCGGTGAGAGAATCCCGGAGTGAGCACCCCCAAGTATGGAGATGGGTGGGTGGAGGCGAGGAGAGTGATTTTCCATGTTGGGGAAGCAGAAATTAGCCGAAATTGGAGAGAGGAAAGGATCTTGGGCTTGAAGGCGAAAGATGGGACTCAAGTCCAGCCCCTGGGTGTGTTTTCTCCAGTCATCTGGCCTCGTTCCCTTATCCATGAAGTAGGAATTGGAGGAAAAAAACAAGGACCTCCACCTACAAAAACTCCACAACCATGTGTACGAATTCTTGTCTTCTCTTAAAAAAGGATCCTGTCCAGGGCTGGGTTTGTGACTCAGCGGTAGAGCGCTTGCTTAGCATGAGTGAGACATTGGGTTCGATCCTCAGCACCACATTTTTAAAATAAATAAATAAAATAGTTATGTCTAATTGCAACTAATATATAAAGGATCCTGATCTGGTAACCAACATTTTAATTTCACACACATTTTGAGTCATTTGTGTTATAGGATTTCAGGTATGTTTGCATAAAATGTGTTATATGTCCAGGGAATATTCATAACAGGTAGTGTGTAATAGCAGAAAACCCAGAAACAACCCAAATATTCATTAAAATGGAATATAAATTAATTATATGGTATTGCCATGTAACACTATGCAATTATTTAAAATATTATTTGTGGTGAAATTAAGTGCTAAGATTCTTGCTCTGCAACATGGAAGTCAGAGAAGATGGACTGTAGGTGTGGATATAGAAAGACCTCTCATAATAAGTCCAATGAGAAAAAAAATAGCAAAAGTTATTATCTCATTGTTTGTAATTTTAAAAAATAATTTAGACCCYACCACACACTTGCTTACCTTGTGTAACATGGGAATGTCAATAGTAGAGATACAATAGAAACTTCTAATATGGAAATAGACGTTAAAATATTAGAACTGCAACTTTTACTTTTGATTTAATACACATTTAATAGATGCCAATTGCAATTAAAACACGGATARTTTTAACATTGAAAGGAGTTTTAAGATGTGATACAGGATTTAAAAGTGATCTTTCTACTTGAAAAGTTAATGAACTGCTGGATCACTTTGGATGATTTCAGAGGGCTTTCTTGGCTTTGACTTAAGATTTCTCCTTTTATTAAGTCCATTAGTTTCCATTTTTCAGCTCTACCTGTGAAATAATCTCCTTTTTCTCTCTTCGAAGCTCATTCTCTCCCTCTTACTAGGTCTGTTGTAGATACAATAGGTCTATTAGTCTTGATCCTCATTACCTCCTGTTTTCTTTTCTAACTATTCCTTCCCAACTTGTAGGCACAGGTTGGAACTTCTCAGGTCAGCTCATATGTTTTCCATGGTTTCCCTTGCCTACAGTTTGAAATCATGATTTCTTAGTCTGATATTTGGATCCTTTCACAGTATATTTCCATCCTACTTTTCCAGTCTTACCTTTTTTTTCATTCCACTTACATTTCATCTGTTCCACCTACTGTGTGGCATTAATGTTCCTAGAGCATGACTTGCACTTTTCTAACTTAATTCATCCAATCCTTCTGACTGAAACACCGTCTCCTCTCTACAGATTTTGTCAGCTGTTTAAGGCCCAGCGAAAATGCCATCCTACCATCTGGATAATATATTTCCATCCTACTTTTCCAGTCTTATCTTTTTCTTTCATTCCACCTATATTTCATCTGTTCCATCTACCATGTGGCATTAATGTTCCTAGAGCATGACTTGCACTTTTCTAACTTAATTCATCAAATCCTTCTGACTGAAACACCGTCTCCTCTCTACAGATTCTGTCAGCTCCTTAAGGCCCAGCGAAAATGCCATCCTACCAGAAAGTCTCAGTTACTCAAGATATCCTAAAGGGCAACTTCATTTCTGTTAATGACACTTGATATAATTGTTTCTCCATGTATGTGTTTTTAGTTTGTAAGTATTTTTAAGGCAGAGGTCATATTTTGTTCATCTGTGGCTCAACATACAATACTGTATGTAAACCTGATACAAAGTGAGGTTAATAGAATTTAGAGAGGGCCCCTAGGCTAACTTCTTCATATTATAGATGAAGAGATTTTCAAAGATTATGCCACAAGTTGGCAATAGAGAAGCAGCGGAAACTGAAAAGACAGAGAGTTTAAGGAATAATGTCCATGGGGAAGACAGTCCTTGAATGATAGACTAGTATTTTAGGAAATAATTTTAATGGAAATTTTAAGACAAGTTCAGAACTGGTTACACAATAGATACCAATTTCAGTTTATGGGAATAATTCTTTTCTGGATAATATATTGGCAGTCTCCAAATACATTGCTATTATCCTGTTGCTGTATATTGGTTCAGGTTGTGTGATCTTGTAGATGTAAACCTTGAATCTTTTTGGTTTTTAATTTTTTAATTCTTTTTAGTTACACATGACAGAATGTATTTTGACATATGCACATGGAGTATAACTTCCCATTTTTGTGTTTGCACATGATGTGGAGTTATACTGGTTATATATTCAAATATAAACATAGGAAATTTATGTCTAATTCATTCTACTTTTTCCCATTCCCATCCTCCCTTCCCTTCCCCACTAAACCTAGAATCTTGACAGGTATTTTTGTGAGTGAAATTAAGTCCTAAGATCACTGCTTTATAAAATGGAAGTCAAACAAGACTGATTATAAGTTATTAACTCTTTGGTTTTGGGTACCAGAGGGCCCCATGTGACCTGAAATTGACACTCTATGCAGTTTAACTTAACACTGCTTTTTTAAAAATAGCTTTATTGAGGAATAATTTACATACAATGAACCTGCATATAATAAAATGTACAATTTGACAAGTTTTGATATAAAACTTGAAACCATCACCACAATCAAGATAGTGAAGATATCTTTCACTCCCAGAAGTTTCTTTACTCCCCTTGGTAATCTCTCCCCACCTCAGGCAGGCAACCACTGATCTACTTTCCATCATTATGAATGAGTTTGCTGGAATTTTGGTAATGTGGAAGGAAAGGTATTTTATTTACAGGAGTCGTGTAGTATGTAGTCTTTTTTTTTGTRATATTTATTTTTTAGTTTTTTAGGTGAACACAATATATTTTATTTTTATGTGGTGCGAGGATTAAACCCAGTGCCTCACACATGCTAGGCGAGCTTTCCACCACTGAGCCACAGCCCCGGCCCTAGTATGTAGTCTTGTTTGATATCTTTTTGCACAGTGTAATTATTTTGAGATTTATACATGTGGCATGAATGAGTAATTTATTCCTTTTTACTGGGAAGTAGTAGTCCACAATATGAGTGTACCCAAGTTGAGATTTCCCTCCCTTGTTGATGAACATTGAGTTGTTTTTGGTTTGGGGATATTATAAATAACATTGCTGTGAACATTCATGTACAAGTCTTTGCCAGGAATGGAATGGTTGGATAGTGTGTAGAAGATATATATTTAACTTTTTAAGAAACTGCCAAATTGTTTTCCAAAGTGGTTATACCGTTTTATATTCCCATCCKCAGTGTAGGAGAGTAGATGATAGGCCTAAAAATAAAACCTGAAACTCTAAAAGTTCTAYAAGAAAGTATATGAAAAAATTTTTGTGACCTTGAGTTTAATGGATTTCTTCAAGAAGATACCAGAAGAACAAATCGAGCCAGGCCCAGTGGCACACACCTGTAATCCCAGATACTCAAGAAGCTGAAGCGGGAGGATTGCAAATTCAAGGCCAATCTGGGCAATTTAGACCATGTCTCAAAAATTTAAAAAGGTAGTGCTCTCACCAACATGCTTGAGGCCCTTTTAATCCCTACTACTGCAGGTAGAGAAAAGAATAAATTGGAATTCATCAGAATTAAACATTTTGCTCTTCAAAGGTCACAGTTAAAGAGAATGAAAAGACAAGTCAATGGAGGAAATAAAAGGTCTTTGCAAAGACTATATCTGGTGAATGACACTCAGGATATATATAAAGCATTAAAAATTCAATAGCAATAGATGAAATACTCAAAAATTGGGCAAAATTAGGAAGAAGTATGGATGGCAAATATGCAAATGAAGAGTCATGTCATTATTAGTCATTAGGGAAATACAAGTTAAAACCACAGTGAGATTTTACTGTACATCTGCTAGATTGCTAAAGTAAAAAAAAAAAAAAAAAAAAAAAAGGATGAAAGGCCAAACAAAATGTGGCAGATAAATACAAAGGGGTATTTATGTGCAGCCTTTAAAAGGAAGGAATTTCTGACAGAAGAACTTTGAAGGCCTTCTACTAAGTGAAATAATCGGACACAAAAGGACCAATCTTGTGTGATCCCATTTATGTGAAATCTCTAGAATACATAAATTTAGAGACACAGAAAGTAAGACTGTAGTTTCAAAGGACTGGGAGAAGAAAGGATGGAAAATGTTCCGTGGGTACAGTGTTTCAGGTTGGGAAGATAAAAAAAAATAATCCGGAGATGGATGATGGTGATAGTTGCAAAAACAATGTGTAATTATACTTACTGCCACAGAACTGTATGTTAGAAATTGTTAAAATGGTGAATTGTTGAATTTTATCTTATATGTAATCACAACTTATTTTTTTAATGAGATGGATTCTTGCTATATTGCCTAGGCTGACCTTGAACTCTTTCTGGGCTTAAGTGATCCTCCTATCTCAGCCTCCCAATTTGTCAGCAATTTTTTTTAAAGGAGAAGAAGCCCAAATCTAGAAGTAGTCACTCCCCATTTCTCCTGTATTCTTGTCCTTCAGKCAACCAGGAACCTATTTTCTGTTTCTATTGTTTTGTCTATTCTGAACATTTCATGTAAGTAGAAGCCTTTTACCACTGGGTGTAGTGGCACATGCACTCCCAATGGCTCAGAGGCTGAGGGAGGAGGATCTCAAGTTCAAAGCCAGGCTCAGCAAAACAAGGCACTAAGCAACTCAGTGATAACCTATCTTAGAGATAGGGTATTTTATTTAGAATAAAATACAAAAAGGGCTGGAGATGTGGCTCACGCCAAAAAAAAAAAAAAAAAAAGCCTTTTGTGTCTGTTTTAGCATGTAATACTTGAAGGTTTGTTCATATTATAGCATTATGAGTACTTCCTTCCATTTTATTGGTAAATGGAATATTGTATGGCTATACCACACTGTATTTATCCATTATCAGCGTTTGGGTTGTTTCTACTGCTTTGAGAATTAATATGTAGGTTTTCATCTAAGCATATTTTTAATTTTCTTAGCTATGAAAACATTATGCAAGGTAGAATCCCTAAGTTAAAGGAAGTGTATGTATTTTTAAGACTTTTGATTTGTATTCCTTAATTGTCATCTAGAAAAGTTATACTAGTTTAATTGTAGTCTCCTATTAGCAATATGTTAGCCCATTATTTGTATTGTTTATTAAAAGACAGAAAATTGATCTTGAAACAGGATCTTTTCCTTTTGTATCTTTCCCCCCTCTTCTATCTCCACTGCTATTTCCCTGATCCACTTCTTTATCACCTCCCACATGAACTGCCTTCATGTTGAAAATTCTTTCTTTAATGCGGATGAAGGATTTTGGGGTTTTGTTTTGTTTTGTTTTGTTTTTCATTTCTAATCTCTTCTGCGGTGATTGAACCCAGGACCTTGTACATGCTAAGTACATGCTGTACAACTGAGCCACCCAGGCCCAGGGTGATTTCTGTAAGTTAGATTTCATTGTTACTTCTCTGTCAAAGCCATCTCATGACTTACCATTGCTTTTCTGGAAAAAGTCTGGATCTCTGAGAATCTGGCTTCTGTGCATCTCTCCAGTTTCATTTCTTGCTATTCATGTCACTCTTTTGCCTTCTCCACATCTGTTCCCTATTTTGACCCTAGTCATACTAAGCCCCATGTGGTTCCTTGAAAGTATAACAAGGTGTTTTCTTCCTCTGTTTCTCGTGTGCTTCTACTCCTTCTTTTTTTTTTTTTTTAATAGTTTTAGTCGTAGATGGACAGAATACCTTGATTTTATTTATTTATTTTATGTGGTGCTGGGGATCAAACCCAGCATCTCACATGTGCTAGGCAAGCGCTCTACCGCTGAGCCAAAACCGCAGTTCCATCTACTCCCTCTTCTTAGAGTACCTTTCTTCTAGATCATTCCTACTTTTTTTTTTTTTTTAACTTAGTTCAGGTGTCACCCAACTGGGAAGCCTTCCTTATACTTTGTGTTCTTAAAGCTCCTATAGCTTCTAGTCCTAGGTTATGTCATTTATCTACCTGGATTGTAGTTGCCTTTTATTTTTCTGTATATTCCATTAGACTGAACTTCTTTAGACTAAATAATATATCGTAATCCTTGTTGTAGCCCCAAAACATGCAAAGCAGATAACAGGTACTTACTAAATGTTCAATGAGCAAATAGAAGTTGCTATTTTTAAAAAAAACGTATTTATGGCACAAATTAGTGAGCCAAGCTTCACTATTATTAGCCTGTTGCTTCCAATCTGGCAGGACATGAACTAATGAGATCTATGGTGTCTCCTTTAGGGAACAGACTACTTTGTGTGTATCCATTCTGGAGAGATTGCTTCAAGCTGTGGAACCAGTTCACGTGGCTAGGAACCTCAAGGTTGACCTACAAAGGGGACTTAATCACCCTGATGATTCTGTTAAAATTCTCACTCTGTCCCAGGTATGAAACTTTACTATATAAGAAGAACCAACATTAACCAACTTCTCTGGGGCAGGTTCTATGCTGGGTTTTAATCTCTCTGTATTCCTAGGGTATGTCTAGTCTATTCTGTTGTGCCTAATGAATTATAACCTGAGAAATAGAAGCTGAAGTAAAAAAGATTCACTTAGTACTATCTTAATCATTCACTCACCAAATAATGACTGAATTCCTTTGACATGCCAGGCATTGTGCCATGTGCTATTGGAGTTATCAACATAAATCTATCATGGGTTTTTGTTTGTTTGTTTTGGTTTTTTATAAGAGGCTTCTAGTCTAGAGAAAAAGATTCTTGGGTGTTTAAATAGCTGCTCTGCCTAACATTGTAGTGACATGAAATAAGTGCTATCCTAAAGGTCAATAAGCCAAAAAATTAAGACAGTAACTCTTACCATCTTGGTAACCAGAAAATCCTACTATGTGCATAAAGAGCTTCTGCTAAAGATTATGTTATTGAAATGTTAGGAATTAAGCAGTTGTCTAGTTAATACTCTACTGCTCTTCCTTTTCTTCTCTAAGGTGTTATTCAATAAAAAAGGGGAGATGGTATCAATTTATTCATTGACCATGTATGTGCCAGACACCACAGTAGGTACTTTGCCTATTTAGTCTCATTTAATCTTCAAAACTACCCTGGAATTAAGTGTCATTATTTCCACTTTACAAGTAAGATATTAGGCTCAAAAGTTATTTAATTTGTCCAAAGTCGGTGCAACTAAAAATTGATATGAGTTGTTTACATTCACTAACATATCAATACTCTGTACCCATGGTGTCTTGTTCGTTTTTTTCCTTTTCATTTAAAGGTGCTAAAGATGGTGGGGGCTGGGGTGGTGGCTCCAGTGGTAGAGCACTTGCCTAGCATGTGTGAGGCACTGGGTTTGATTTTCAGCACCACATATAAATAAATAAAATAAAGGTCTATTGACAACTAAAAAATATTTTTTTTTAAAAAAAAAAGGTGCTAAATATATTACTACACCATTTTAATAAATTTGGGTCATTATGAATTTTTAGTGACCTGTCCTATAGCTGTAACTTCTAAAATAATTGCACACTAAGGAAATTAGACTGTCATTTATTCACGTTACTATACCTTGAAAGAGTATTTCTGTTTTGTTTTGTTTTTTTTTTCCTCTCAGATTGGAAGAATTGTTGAAAATTCTGATGCTGTTACTGAGATTCTAAATAATGCTGATCTACTAAAACAAATTGTGTATTGCATTGGTGGAGAGAATCTATCTGTAGCTAAAGCGGTGAGTTTACTAGAACACATCAACTAACATGTAGAGACATTAGTGACTTAAAGTCAAAAAAGGCCTTATGAATTGAGAGGTGAAGGGTTAAAATTGATGATTGATGGAACTGAATTTATAGCCTCATGTAGCTGGTATCAGATAAATAAATGGTTATCAAATACATAATAGTGAACTCCTTTTCTGTGATACATATATTTACATTATTGGGTTTACATTGGGTTACTTGATCTTTTCCAGTTATTTACAAATAACAATAGCTAAAATGTAATGACTGCTCATTGGGCAAGTACGTTTTGTGCACTGATTTTCACATCAGTCTCAAGAAGTAGATATAAATATTTTGTATTTTTGTGACTTAAGAGATATTTTCTTTCCTTGTAAGGCTATCAAATCCCTGTCAAGAATATCACTAACTCAAGCTGGACTTGAGGCTTTATTTGAAAGCAATCTACTGGATGATTTGAAAAATGTAATGAAAACAAATGATATTGTTCGATACAGGGTGTATGAGGTAAGACTAAAAACTATGGGACATTTACAAAGCAAAATATAGTAAACTTGAAATGGAAGGCAAGATGGTTCATTTAATGTGTGTTTATTGGATATATAATCTGTGTTAGGCCCTATTCCAAGGTGCTAGGAATATAGGGATTAATTCCCAGCTGGTGTGTGGGAGAGTCATACAAAAAATGGTGTAGTATAATTACTCTATTAGAGGAGATAGCATTGAAACTGGTCTGAAATATTATCTCACTAGTAAAGGAGTACTTTTGGGAGGGCAGTACCAGGGATTGAATCCAGGGGCACTTAACCACTGAGCCATATCTCCAGCCCTTTTTTGTATTTTATTTAGAGAGGGTCTCACTGAGTTGCTTAGTGCCTTGCTAAATTGCTGAGGCTGGTTTTGAACTTGCAGTCCTCTTGTGTTAGCCACTCAAATCCCTGGGATTACAAGCCTGCACCACCAGGCCCAACAAAGGAGTAATTGACCTAAAGACACACTTAATAGGCTGCATACACAAAATGGAACCCTGTACAGTCTTAATTCCTTCTTTACAAAACTTTCTTACTTTACATGCCCTGATACCACACTACTCTGGTTTTCCTTTTACATCTCTATTTCTTCTTAATCTCCCAGTTCGTTATTCTCCAAGAACCTTTAATTGTTTGCATTCATGAAGGCAAAGTCTCAACCCCAGATTTTATTGTACCTGTACTCATTTCTAGGTTGTTGTTGGTGGGTTTTTTTTTTTTTTTTTTTCGATAACAGCCTCGCTTCGTTGCCCAGGTTAGCCTCAAACTCCTGGTTTCTAGGGATCATCCCACCTCAGTTTCTTAATTGCTGGGACTACAGCTTAGTTTGATTTATCTTGTGATCTCAGTTCCCACCTATGTGATGATGACTCAAATGTAAATTTCCATCCCAGGCCTTTCTTTTGAAGTAAGATCTTCACATCCAACTGCTCATTAACTGTTGCCCCAGTGGACATATTCCAGGCCCCTCATACTCATGCTCAAATTGAATCCTGATCTACCCCATGGCCATAGTAAAATACAGCAGTAACAAACTGCTGTATTTTACTATGTTGTGTATTACAGAGTGTATTTACAGAGTTGTGTATTAGACCTTGAGTTCATTCTTATAAGGCCTTATATGTTGGTTTTACCTAAACTTGTGTATTTCTCTTCATTGGTATATCCCCACACCCTACCCTATGATAATTTACCACTGCAGCTTACCTCATCTGTTATTGTCATTCATCCCTCATCTATCTTACATGCCGTCAGAATGCTGTTTTTTAATTGACATGTAGTTGTATGTACTTATCATGTATAGCAAGATGTTTTGAAGTGTATATAAGAATAATCTTTTAGCCCATGCAGTGGTACATGCCTGTAATCCCAGCAGCTCAGGAAGCTGAGACRTAAGGATTTCGAGTTCAGAGCCAGCCTCAGCAACAGCAAGGAGCTAAGCAGCTTAGTGAAATCCTTTCTCTATATAAAATACAAAATAGGGCTGGGAATGCAGGTCAGTGGCTGAGTGCCCCTGGGTTCTCTGGTATACCCCACCAGCCAAAAAAAAAAAAAAAAAAAAGATCTTTTAAAAATTTATTTCTGTCACTTCTCAAAGTCTTCAGTGTCCTTTTTCTCTCAGTAAGCTCTCAGGACACACTTGTTAAATGAAGAAGTAACTGAATTGATGAACTATTTTTTTCCTTTGAGGTGCTGGGGATCAAACTCAGTTCTTCATACTGCCATGCAAGTGCTCTACCATTAAGCTACATTCCTAGCTCATGAATGAATGTTTTTTTTTTTTTTTTTTTAAAGAGGAGGGGGGGAGAGAGAGAGAGAGAATTTATTTATTTATTTTAGTTCTCGGCAGACACAACATCTTTGTTTGTATGTGGTGCTGAGGATTGAACCCGGGCCGTACGCATGCCAGGCGAGCACGCTACGGCTTGAGGCACATCCCCAGCCCTGAATGAATGTTTTAAATAATCTGCTTGTTTTTGCTAATTTAAGCTTTTATGCCAAGATTGATGATAAGGGGGTACGGATACACACAGATATAATGGAATATTTTGGTGCCATACTGATTTCTTATGTGTTCAGTGAAGTTTTCCTAGAGACAAATTAATGGAGTTTTAAAAACTCAAATCATATAAAGTACCCAGTTCTGCATTTAATTTAAAATGAGACTTAATAGGCTTGTGGCTGTTTTGCCGTTTTTCCATTTTCTGTCTTTTTTTTTTTTTTCCAGCTAATTGTGGAGATTTCTTCTGTGTCATCAGAATCTTTAAACTACTGTACCACAAGTGGATTGGTAACCCAGCTACTGAGAGAGCTGACTGGTGAGGATGTGCTAGTCAGGTGTGTTCACTGACAGATCTTAAACAGAAAAATCCTCTTTTAGAGGGCCAAGAACCAGCCTTGGGACCTGTCATGATCTGTTCTATTAGAGCTTGTGTCTAGTCTGCAACCTCAAGACTTCTGTAAGCTAGATGTGGTGGTGCATGCCTATAATCCCAGTGTCTCGGGAGGCTGAGGCAGGAGGATCATGAGTTCAAGACCAGTCTCAGCAACTCAGGGTGAAGCGCTATGCAATTCAGTGAGACCCTGTCTCTAAATAAAATACAAAAAAGGGCTGGGGATATGGCTCAGTGGTTGAGTGCCCCTGGGTTCATTTCCAGTACCAGAAAAAGGAGAAGAGGGGGCTGGCAAGTGGCTGAGTGGTTGACCATTTGCCTCACATGCGGGCTAGGGATGTGGCTCAGTGGTTAAAAACCTCTGGGTTCAATCCCTAGTACCAAAAAAAAAAAAAAAAAATTATGTGAAAGTCACTCAAGTTACATTACAATAACATTAACATTGGAACTTAGCAAAGCCCTGCAAGACAATTCAGTTTTTTCAAGTGATTGTGTCCCCTGTTCCTGGGCAGGTATGCTCTTAAATAGTTGTAGTCACGTGGTGACTGCCATTTCGGATTACTTAACATTTTATCAGATATATTCATTGGCCTTGTTAAATAACAGCACTGACTTATAAAATATGGGCTTTTGAAAAGGAGATGGACTTGACCTTGCATACCTCTTTTCTACTTATCAGCTATTTGACCTTGGACAAATGATTGTAGCCTTTCTACACCTCAGTTTCTTCATCTTTCTGATGGAAAAATAACAACTCTAAAGAAGTAGTGAGGAGTAARTGAACTGACCATAGAAACCAGTAAAGTGACAGACATGGATCCCCAAATGAATGTTAATTCCAATCTTTTCTAGATCCCTGTTCTCCTTACYCTCTTAAGTTCCCTTTATTATCTGCCAAACGTCTCCTTATTGATATTCCAGTTTGCTATTATCCTCACTGTTGAGCAAGTATTTTGCTGTTACCATATTAGTACAGTTGTCATCTTTATGTGTGTAAGTTTTTATTGTCTTCTAACCAAATGACTTTTTTTTGTTTGCTTGTGGTGCTAGTGTTTGAAACCAGGACTTCTCACATACTAGGCAAGCTCTCAGCCACTGAACTACACCCTCAGTCCTAAAATCCAGATTCTGATGTCCTATGTGCTTTAAGTATAACTGAATTATTAAACCTATATGTATAAATCAGTCATTAGTTAAATTTAAAAGCACTTGTGTATTATCCTAACAAGAACATGGGAAAAAACCTTCAAATGATAGTCAGTTAACATACTTCAGCATCAACTATTAAAAATACTGTTTTAAAATGGGAGTTCATAACTCACTTGAAACTAATGTTTGAAATATGATATGTCAAGAGCTTTGTAAGGTTTTGAACAACCAGTAAAAAAAAAAAAAATACTGTTTTAGTTATTAGGAGTAATTTTTTCATGGTTGAAAATTAGATGATACCATAGAATTGTTAAGTTGTTAATATATGGTAATTACAGTATAATTATGTAAGGAAATATTCATGTTTTTTACAGATGCATACTGAAGTGTGTAGGGGTAAATGGCACGATAACTAGGATTATCTTTAAAATAGTTCAGCAAAAAATGGGAAAGAAAGATGAAGTAAGTAAAGCAAAATCTTGATAGTTATTAAATCAGGGTTATGAATGCATGGTAGTTTAATGTACTAATCACTTTACTTTTGTGTGTATTTGACATTTCAAAATAAAAGCTAAAAATCTCTTAGGAAACAACTGTGTTATAGTGGAAACAATAGTGGGCCTCAAGTCAAAAAGTCAAGATTTAAGTATAAATTCTATCTTGTAACAACAAGTGATATTCCAAATATGTCATTTTCACCTTGTAAGTGTTGTGTCCTTATCTAAGAAGAGTCAAGGGTATTAACCTTTCAGATTTGTTGAAAAGATTAAGATAACCTGTATGAAAATAGTTTTAAAAGCAGCCTATTCGTGTGCACAAACTCCTTGTTTTTGTTCTTTCTTTATAGAGCCACCTGTATAGAGATGGTGACATCTCTAGCATATACCCATCATGGACGACAATACCTTGCTCAAGAAGGAGTAATTGACCAGATTTCTAACATAATTGTTGGGGCAGATTCTGACCCTTTCTCTAGCTTCTATTTGCCAGGTAAGAAATAGTGGTGCCTGTGGAAGTGACAGTGCATGTTTTGCTTCTGAGTTATATTGGCTAGAAGAGGCCAGGAATTATTTTGCTTTGAGCCAGTTCCTTTTAGAGGATACTCATGGCCACCAAATTTAGCAGCATCATTATTCACAAGTAGGATTTATCCCAGAGATGCAAGGATGATTCAATATGCAAATCAATAAATGTTGTACAACAAATTAACAGATGAAGGATGCAAACTCATATGATTGTGCTTGTAGAAACAGAGAAGGCATTTTGACACATTCAACGTTCTTTCATAAATCTCTTATTAAAAGGTGTAGAAGGAGTAACCTACACAACAGTGAAAAGTTAAAAATTTTTCTCTTTGATCAGGAACAAGACAAGGGTTGGTACTACTTCTGCTTAACATAGTACTTGAAGTCCTAACTAGAGCAATTATGTAAAAGAAAAAAATAAAAGGTATCCAAATTTGAAAAGAAGACATTGATTTGCTGCTATATGTAGATCACACGTTCTTTTTTTTTTTTTWATATTTATTTTCTAGCTTTAGGTGGACACAATATCTTTATTTTATTTTTATGTGGTGCTGAGGATCAAACCCAGTGCCTCACGCATGCAGGCGAGCATGCTACTACTTGAGCCCTATCCCCAGCCCCACATGTTCTTATATATAGAATACAGACTCTGCCAAAAAAGCCTGAATGAATTTAGCAAAGTTGTAGAATACAATAGTAACATACAAAATCAGTAGCATTTCCATACTCTAGCAACTATATGAAAAAGAAAATATCCTCATGGGATAGGGATGTAGCTTATTTGCAGAAAACTTCCTAGCATGCTTCAAGCTCTAGATTCAATCTCCAGTACAGAAAATAGAATAATTCCATTATGATAGTGTTCATAAAAATAAAACAAAGTTAGGAATGAATTTCATTAAGAAGATGAAAGATCTGCACTCTGAAAACTGTAAAATAACTAGTGAAGAAAATTAAAGACACAAATGGAGTGATGTCCCAGATATATGGATCAGAAAGAATGATATTGTTTCAATTTCTATACTATTACCCAGAGTGATTTACAGATTGGATATAATTTCTATCCAAATTCCAGTGGTGTTTTTCAYAGAAGTAGGGGGATAAAATCCTAAAATTCATATAGAAATATAATGTAGCCAAAGTAGTTTAAAGCAATGCTTCTCTGACTTCAAAATATACTACAAAGCTATAAGAATCTAAACAATATGGTACTGCCATGAAACAGGCACATAGACAAGTGAGATAGAATCCAGAAATAAACCATGCATTTGTGGCCATTTGAGTTTCAACAAACATGCCAAGAACATTCAATGAGGAAAGGACAGCCCTCTCAATAAATGGTGTCAAGGCACCAGATGTATATAAGCAGAGAATGAAATTAGATTTGTATTTCACTCCATATGCAAAAATTAACCCATAGTGTTTTAAAGACTTAAATATTTAAGACTTGAAACTGGAACTGCCAAAACAAAAATAGGAGAAAACTCCATGACACTGTTCYAGACCAAGATTTTTTGAACATGACCCCTTAAAAGTACAAGCAACAAAAGCTAAAAGAGACAAATGGGATTGTATCAAACCAAAAGATTTTTGCATAGCCAAGGAAGCAACAGAATGAAAAGGCAGCCTATGGAATGGGAGAGATGTTTGTAAGCCATGTATCTGGTAAGGGGTGAGTATCCAAAATATATAAGGAATGCAAATGATTTAGTCCACCATGCGGCCAGCGCATTGGTTTCATTAATGAGGTTCTTGGCATAAAAGTTAACTAGCGAGATCGAAATAAAACACACAGACTCAGTTACCTTTTTCTATGACCAGGTCCGGGACGGCTCCCCTCTCTGGTTCCCACCTCGAACCACCCGTAGGGCAGCAAGGATTACTCAGGGCTAGCAGGAGAGAAAGAAAGTGAGCACACCAGGGAGTAGCCTTTTATTGGGGAACAAGAAATTYAGGGGAGAATTCCATCCAATGAAGGTTGAGGCGGGGCCGCACTCCAAGGTCAGGGTCAGTGATTGGCCCCCTGGGTCAGTGGTCAGTCACACCCCCACACGGACGGGCTCTCTCATCAGGAGAGGGCCGGGAAAGCTCCGACACAGATTAGCCAGAGCGCCTCAGACCCAAACCAGGAGTTGCCCAGTCACGTGTGAGAATGGCTCTCCACAATTTAGTAGCAAGGAAATGGTCCATAAACAACTAAAAAAATGTGTGTGTGTGTGTGTGTGTATATATATAATAATTTTTTTAAATGCCTGTCAGGTATATGAAAAAATGTTCAACATTACTTATCATCAGGGAAATGCAAAATAGAACCACAGTGAGAAATCATCTCACACCTATTTAAGAGTGGCTTATATTAAAAAAGATGAAAGGTAGCAAGTGTTGACAAAGACAGGGAGCAGAGGAAACCCTTGCACACTGTTGGTGGGAATGCCAATTAGTATATGACCATAATGGAAAACAGTATGTGTCCTCAGAACACTAAAATGAGAACTAGAAGATGAACTGACAATCCTACTGGGTATGTATCCAAAGGATGTAAAGTCAATATGTGGAAGAGATACCTACATTCCCTTGTTCTTTGCAGCATTCACAATAGTCAAGATATGGGATCAACCTAAGTGATTGCCAGTAGATAACAGATAAAGAAAATATGAGGTTATAAATATAGCTCTGTGATAAGAGCACTTGCTTAGCATGCAGGAGACCCTGGTTTTGATCCCCACATCACAGAACAAAATAAAGATAGACTACTCTTTAACCTTAAAAAGAAAGAATCCTGTTAGTTTCAGCAACATGGATAGAGAACATTATCTTAAGTGGGAAAAGCAAGGCATAAAAAGATAATACCACATAATCTCAACAGTACACGAACTAAAGGAGTCAAATTTACAGAAGTAGAGAATAGAATTGTGATTACAGGGGTTGGTGAGGCAGGGTTGGATAGATAACAAATTGCAAAAGATACAGATTTCAGAACTGGGGTTGTGGCTGAGTAGTAGAGTGCTTGCCTGGCATGTGCAAGGCACTGGGTTCAACTTTCAGTACCACATAAAAATAAATAAAGTGTACAATTTGATATTTAAAAAAAATACCAATTTCAGGAGAAATATGGATTAGTTGATAACAATGTATCATGTTCTTTAAAATCATTAAGAATATATTTTAAATTTTTCACCATAAAAAGGGTATTAGATGTTAATTTGTTCAATTTAGTCATTCTGTAATGTATGTGTAATTCAAAATATGTTCACTTAATGCATAATACAATTTGTTAATTCAAAAAGTTAATTTTAAAAAATGATACCCACAGTCCCTTAGTAGGTAGAATCCATTGCTCTGAGAGCCATGCATGCAYTGTTGACTGCTTTTCTTGAAATATTAGTGCTTTTTAAAGCATGAAGGTTATTTTCTTTAGAAGCTCAATTAAAAGAAATGTAAATAAAAATAATAATACTAACATTTACAGTATATATCACAGATTGATCACATCTGTGAGTTGGAATCTGTATGATACAGGATCTGCTCTAGCCATTCTGTTTTAGGGCTTGATTAATTAATCCTAAGCACTCCCCAGAAGTTGGGGATTTACTGCTTCCTTATGTAACCTACCTTATTTTATTGAGCATGTACGTTTAAAAGTGTCTTCCCAATAATGACTCTGACCTTGCCTTACTCCAAATTGTATCCATTTGTCCTTGTTCTTCTTCCTCTGCACCATTGGTACCCTGAGGTTTCTAATCTCTCAGGACCACATATCACCAGTCATTTGGATATCTGAATGGTCTCAGGTTTCCAGGCAACTCTATAGTTTTTCTCTTTCTGGCCTGTAGTTTATTACTGTTCCTTTGAAAACAGAGCCCACAATTTGTACTGTTTAACTCTTTTATTAAGATGTATTTTTCTAAATATCTTTAGGATTTGTGAAATTTTTTGGAAACCTGGCTGTCATGGATAGTCCTCAACAGATCTGTGAGCGTTATCCTGTCTTTGTGGAAAAGGTGTTTGAAATGACAGAAAGTCAGGACCCCACCATGATTGGCGTAGCTGTAGACACAATTGGAATCTTGGGATCCAATGTTGAAGGCAAACAGGTTTTACAGAAAACAGGTTGGTATAACTTGTCTTGACTTTCTTTAGTTGTGGCTTATTTTTCATAATGGTGCAATAACTCAAGTTCTTTTGCATTGTAGAAACTACTTTTGTTGGTAGTGGTCTTCACCATGACTATGGACTCATCTCTCAAAGTCTCATAATTTAAAGTCTAAAATTCTTTTATTTCTTACTTCTCAATGTTCAGTGTTCTACCAACCAATTAGGACCAAATACTCTTTCCTGTATGTCTTCTTTGAATAGTATTCATGATACAAAGACCACACTAACAGCTTTTTTTTTTAATAATTTTATTTTATTTATGTATTTATTTTTTTTACTATGGCACTGAGGATTGAACCCAGTGCCTCACACGTATTAGTCAGGTACTCTACTACTGAGCCACAACCCCATCCATTAACATTAGGTTTTTGAATTTCACTTACCTCACTTCTCTGGGCCTTATTTATAAAAAAGGCATAACAATTGACTTATCAGGATTGTTGTGAATATTTAATGAATTTTATTTGTAATGTCAGGAAACAAATACTTATAAGCTTTTATGTTAAGGAAAATACTTTTATGACACATCCGTGATTATCTTAACAGCACAACAAATTCTTCACAAAAAATAAAATATGCAGCACTGTTATGAAAACCCTTTTGAAGTATATATTGAACATTAATATGCCGTATGTATTGCAGCTAATATCCCTGCTGCATGTACTTGTCTAAGTGCTTGTACCTATGACATATAATCCTTTTACAGTCCTGCAAAGAACATACCATTGTCATTCTCATTTTACAGATAAGGTAGCTGAAACTCAGAGAAGTTAAGAAAATTTTCTAAGATCATACAGACTGGGGCAGCTGCTACTCAAATCCAGGTCCTTTGATTCCAATCCTATACACTTTGCCTTATATGTGCTACATTGCATATAATTGTGTGCTTTAGATCTGTCATTTGGTTTCTGACTAGATGCCTATTTTTATGTGATTTAGGTTGGTAGGGGTCATAATGTATGAAAGTATACTTCATATTCATTAGGATGCTATCAATTTTTTTTTAATTACAAAATTATAAAGTAACAGATGTTAGGATATGGCGAAGGCACAATCCTGTTTACTGATGGGAGTGTAAAATGTTGCAACCCCTGTGGAAAATAATATGCAAGTTCCACAAAAAAATGAACCAAGTACTATATGGTCCAGAATTTTACTTCTAAGTATATTCTAACAAGTATTGAAAACAAGGACCTAAACAGATTTGTATACCTATGTTCATGGCAGTATTGTTATAGCCCAAACTAGTAGAAGCAACCCAATAGTCATTGATGGATAAATGGGCAAACAAAATGTTAATATGTCTGCAGTGGAATCTTACTCAGCTTTATTAAAGTATGTGACGTGTCACAGCACAAAGGAAGTGGGAAGACATTATGCTAATGAAATAGKCCAGGCATGGAAAGCAGATACTGTCTGTAAGATTCTGCTTAGATGAGGTACATASAATAGTCAAATTCTTAGAAACAAAGAAGAATAGTGGTTATCAGGGGATGAGAGTAGGGAGGAATGGGAATTATTGCTAATATGCACAGAATTATAGCTGAATTGTTGAAAAGTTCTGCAACAATATGAATGTACTTGTAATGACAATGAAATGTATAGTTAAAATGGTAAATTTTAAGTTTTGTATACTTTACCATATTAAAAAAAAATTCGAAATCTCATTGTTATCTTCAAAGGAACTCGCTTTGAACGCTTGCTCATGAGGATTGGACATCAAGCAAAAAATGCCTCCACAGAGCTAAAAATCAGATGTTTGGAAGCAGTTTCATCTCTTCTATATTTACCAGTAAGTGGACTGGGAAATTAATGAAGGACAGTGTCATATGTTTGGGAGAGTAAATCTATCTATATAAGTCAACATAACATTAGTTAATGTAAACACTGACTAAGTAAATGTTGTCTGTCTCACTTCTAGTAAAAGAAGAGAACCTTCATAATATGACTAGTAACATTTTTAGTTAAAGTGGAATCATACAATATCAGAAGTAAATAGGCCATAGATATTGGTGAATCCTATCCATCAAAAACTGGGAAGATGGGGCTGGGGTTGTGGCTCAGCAGGAGAGCCCTCACCTTACATGTGCAAGACCCTGGGTTCGACCCTCAGTATAAAAATAAATAAGTGAAATAAAGGTATTGTGTCCAACTACAACTTAAAAGTAAATAAATAAACAAATAAACAAACTGGGAAGAATCTGGGCTGGATTTGAAGACGAATGCTTCAGACTAAGCTAAGAACACACAACAAATTAATGAATGTCTAAACCCAGGTTTTCTGGCTTTGAAATGCATGGTTTTCTCCAGATATAGTAATCTTGTGAAATTTTCCTTTTCTGTCCTGTAGCCGGAGCAGCAGACTGATGATCTCCTGAGGATGACAGAATCATGGTTTTCCTCTTTATCCCGTGACTCACTGGACCTCTTTCGTGGTATCAGTAATCAACCCTTCCCTGAACTACACTGTGCTGCCTTAAAAGTGTTCACGGTAGGTATTTTCTTCTCCATCTGTCCTTCTGGAACTGCTCATTTGACCCACGATTACCTAGAATTCATTTCCTGTGCCTTGCCCTGTGGATGCACAGTGTAGAGCACAGGTTCTGCTCTCTGCTGCTTCAGAGACCAAAGAGGAAGATATTAACAGTAAAAGGTATTAGCTTCTAGGGATGTGGCTCCATGGTGGAGTGCTTGTCTGGCATGTATGAGGCCCTGGGGGGTTCAATCCCCTTCACCCCCAAAACAAAAATGTGCTAGGTTCTGTTTGAAGTTTGAACAGGGTGCTATGAGATCACAGAATTAATTCCAAATTCCTTATCTACCATACTCAATTGACTCAGCCCTCAGCTTCTTCCTGAGCCTTATTTTCTGACATTCTTCTTTTGGCACTTAATGCTCTAGGGATGCCGACCTGCTTATTTCAAATCTCTGTATTTTGCTGTGCTTTCTGTATCCGACACTCTTCCCTAACTTTGCTTGTTATCCTCTTATTTATTTAAGACCTAGTTCAGGTTATCTTTTTAGCACAGTTTGCCCAAACTGATGATTAACTCAGTGTTAAATTTTAAATACATTTTTAAAAATTTAACCAAATTTTAAACAAAACGTTAATGTTGGCTTTCATACATTGCGTTTATTCATTCATTCAGTGTGAGGGGTACAACACTAAATAAAATAGATTAAAAGTTTCTTGGAACTGAAGTTGTGGCTCAGTGCTCTACCATATGTGAGGCCCTGGGTTCGATTCTCAGCACCACATATAAATAAACAAAATAAAGATCCATCAACATCTAAAAAAAAAAAAAAAAAAAAAGTTTCTTGAAGCTTTTTGTCTGTTGAGGGAGCCAGGCAGTAAAAAAAAAGTTTCTTGTAATTGTAAAGGTACTTATTACCTGTCTCTGCATACTTAATCTCTTCCCTCATTAAGCAGTTTGTGAAGAGAAGGACCATATCTGATTTGTCTTTGTAATCCCAGCACTTGCCATGGTGCCTGGGTTCATAGAAATGTAGTCATGTCTTTGGTAATCCTATCATAATGGGATTCACACAGCATACTAGGCCTAAACTAGGATGGGATTGGAGAAGGAAGGCTTCCTGAGGATGTGTTTTGTGATCTGAGTCTTGAAAGACACAGATATTCCTATCATCTTCAAGAACATCTGCTTTTAAAGACCACTTCACCCTTATAATCACTGTATGAGAAGGGCATTTGGCTTCTCCATTGGTATCTCATTATCAGTTTATTTTGATTTTGCTATTCTACCTTATCCTCCTCTACTTAGTTTGCCATGACTGTAAAGAGATAATTTTTTAAATTTTCTCTTTGGGATAGCTATTTAAGTGAACTTTTCATCCTTAGTTATTGTTATCTAGGTCAATATTTCTTAAAATATTAACTTTAGGGATCTTGTTGAAATGTAGATGCATGGTAGTTCTGAGATGGAGCTTAAGAGCCTGAATTTCTAGTAAGCTCCAGGTTGTGCTAATGCTGCTGGTCTGTAGAATAAGTTTGAAAGAAAGAAACTATAAGCTTGATACTTGTTCTTCACTAAAATGTAATGGTGAGGTTTTAATAAACATAAAAGTTGCTTATTTAAAATTTGGAAAATACTGAGAAGTACAGATTTTTCAAATCAAATGAAGTTGTTTGTTGTATTTCAATCTAGTTTTAGTATGTATGTATGTATGTATGTATGTACGTATTTTGGTTGAAGTATTTCGAATAGTCATACCTTACTACCTCTGCCCAATCTCATTCCCCTTCTTCCCTGGATGTAATCACGATCACAAATTCAGGATTTCCAGGCCCATATGTCATTTCATATTTCTACTACATGTTGCCTATATAAACAAAATACATTATAGTGTTTTATATATTCTTAAATTTTGTAAATGGTATCACACTAGTCATATCATTCTACAGTTTGCTTTTTCTCTTTAATATGTTATATCAGTGATCTGGGCACAGTGGTGCATGCCTGTAATCCCAGCTACTTGGGAGGCTAAGGCAGTGGAATCACAAGTTCAGGGTCAGCCTAGGCAACTAAAGTGAAAAATAAAAGGGGCTGAGGATGCAACTCAGTGATACCGCATCCCTGGGTTCAATCCCTAGTACCAAAAAAAAAAAAAAAAAGTGCCTCTATGTGTGTGTATTTACATTTTAAAAGAGGAAATTAGAAGTCAGTGTTTCATTACAAATCCACAATGTATCATTCTCCAAATGAAGCATCATTCCAAAGCATCTGTTACAAGTGGTACTATAATAAACATTCTCAAAAATATTTTGGGTATGTGTATGAAAGTTTTTAAGGTAGTCTTCTAAGTTTGCTTTTGTTTTTCCACTGTTGTAATCATGCCTTGTGAATAACTGGGATCTGCTTTTGTCATGTAACACATCAACCCATGTCTTTTTGCCTATTCTTTGTAAACAGTCTTAGTGTTTTCTTTTATTTCTACATAAATTACTTAATCATTCCTCCATTATTACACATTTATATTGTAACTTTCACACTGTGATGAACATCTTTGTATACTAAGCTTTCAGGTATTTAGAATTGGTTTCTTACATTTGTTTATCAGGAGGTAATTTACTTTGGAGGAAAAGGTAATTTTTGAAATTTTCTTATTAGTACATTGTAGACATATAGTATAATAGTGGTGTTTGTTTTGCAGTATTCATAAGAATGTGTAACATAATTTGCTTCATTTTAATCTTCAAATCTGAAAGGTAACATTTTAAAGGTTCATCCTACCACACTTCTTCCTAAATAATACTACTCCATCCCATTAACACACTTAATTTTTCAAGGCCCAGAGAAAGGTATTTTTTTCTGTCTTCTATTTCAGGCCATTGCAAACCAACCCTGGGCTCAGAAACTTATGTTTAACAGTCCAGGTTTTGTAGAATATCTGGTGGACCGGTCTGTGGAGCATGATAAAGCTTCCAAGGATGCCAAATATGAACTGGTGAAAGCACTTGCCAATTCCAAGACAGTTGCAGAAATCTTTGGGAACCCAAATTATTTGAGACTGAGAACTTACCTGAGTGAAGGTCCATACTATGTGAAACCTGTGGCTACAACAGCTGTAGAAGGAGCTGATTGATTTCTTCAAGAGTCTAATACAGAGGACCATGTTTCAACTAGAACTTCTAAGGCATTTGACTCCATCTRTATTTTCCAAAACAGAGTCCCCCAACCTGCTCCAGCAGAACTATCATGAAGTATCTAATGGAACTTTATTGCCAACGTTATGTTTCTACATTGAAGTACAATATGGAACAGGAATTTGGAATACATTAAGAGCAAGCAAAGGTGGTCATAAAAGAATGAGTGTTTTTCAGATTCCCGAAACTGCTTTAATCTTTGCAGTAAGACAAAATTTTGTTCTTTCAGAAAGTTTCCATGGATGTAGTCATGGTCTTATTTAAAAATCTGCTTCAAATAAAATGAAACCAAATTGTGACTTCTCTTCACCTTTTTAAGAATTTTTTTGGGGGGCTGGAGATGTGGCTCAGCGGTGGTGCGCTCGCCTGGCATGCGTGTGGCCCGGGTTCGATCCTCAGCACCACATACCAACAAAGATGTTGTGTCCGCCGAGAACTAAAAAATAAATATTAAAATTTCTCTCTCTCTGTCTCTCCTCTCTCACTCTCTCTTTAAAAAATAAAAAAAAAAAWTTTAAAAAAAAGAAATTTTTTTTTTAATTTTTGTTTATAATTTTTCTTCTTTTGATTCTTCTTTTAAAGTCTTGGATATTTCTTTGAAAAATAAGTAGTTTGGAATTCTCAAATTATGATCTGTCTAAATATTTTTACTGAGATCTCTTGACTTTTTTTGTTATTCCTTTGAAAACTGACAAAGTAGATCTCTAAAAATATGTGGTATTCTGTTGATGCTTTTTGCTATTTATCAGTGAATTTTGTCCTGTTTTGGTTATGGGGAAGGGAGAGTGATATTTAAATAATACAGTTCTCTTAACTGCAATTGGTTATTGGTGCGTCATCATTGTTAAGGGACTTTTTGCTGTTAATTTTTCATATTCGTCAAGTCAATCTTGAGTTGATCAGAAAGGGAAACTGACTTCTAACCACCAGATCAGGAAGAATATGAGTAAATTAGGATGCCATCTCGTTAAATTACAAAGGGCAGTCTTTCTTTTCAGTGATGGAAATTATACCTAAACAAAACACTCTGCATGTCAGTTCACCTGTCCAGAGGTTTCAGCATGAGTTTTTTGTCAGAGTAACAGCTTCGGAGTGGAGAGATGTGTTTATATTCTAGATCATGATGAAGTTGGTAAACCATCCTTGCTCTATTACAGAATGATTCTCAGTGAGTGACTAGAATCCTCTGGTTCCAGATTAATAATCTCCTTCACCATCTCTGGTATAAGTTTTCTTTTTCTGTGTTTTCAAACTGCCTATTTCTACTGTTAGTATCACTAATTAGACTCTAGCCAGGTCTTTCCTGGCCTGAAATATTGTCTTTAAAGTGAATTTTGCTTTGTCTCATTCATGTTGTTTATTTGTTCCTCATTTTTTCATTGTAAAATATGCATAATAAATATATGTATATGACCTGCTAAATAAAGTTTACTATCAGCCATTTTAAAGTGTACAGTTTAGTGATATTAAAAATCTGCAAAATGTTTTACAATCATCACCACCATCCATCTCCAGAATTCTTATTTTAAGACAGTATCTTGCTAAATTGTTCAGGCTGGCCTAGAACTTGTGATTCTCTTCCCTTAGTCTCCCAGGTCACTGGGAATACAGGCATGGGCTTCCTCTTTTTATCTTATAAAACTTAATACTGTATACCCATTAAATAGAACTCCCCACTTTCTGTTTCCTCCCAGCCTCTGGTAACACATTCTAATTTACGATGACCCCCATACCCATTGCTGGGGCTTAAACCCAAGACCTTGCACTTGATGATGTTAATAATTTAATATCAGAGTTCAGGAAGATGCCCTCACCTATGTATGGCCAACATAATGACATACTCATTCTGATTTTGTACCTATAGCTTTATTTTAAGGTTATTATTTTGCAGTTAATAAACACTGGTTGTGTGTGTGTGTGTGTGTGTGTGTGTGCGCGCGCGCGCGCGCGCGCACTCACAGCTTTTCACAAAATGCCCAGAGAGAGCAAGGGTGGGGAGCTAGAAATTTAAAAAATAAAGGAATAGGCCATCTGCATTAGCCATTCAGCAGGAGCCATTGTGTTCCCGGTGTATTGCTCCTTATTGGACACCTGCATCTCTTGCTACTGGGTACCCAACAGCTTTTTCTGCCAGAGAACCCTAGAGAGGGAGACAAAGCTGTACATTCCTCACTGCACCCTCAGAAGTTGTCTGTACTGTTGAGCTGCTTTGGGGAAAGAGCTGCCATGTCTCCAAACCCTTCATAGACCCTGATGCCAGAGATGCAATCCCTCTTAAAATATCTGTACTACATCCTCAAGCTTTGTGGGTGCATTCAGATAGCCTGTATCTCAGATATCACAGCTACCAGCAAAGAGCTAGTTTGCACTCTAGGCTGCTAAGACAATTCATTGCATGTAACCATACTCCAGATCCTAGTCTGAAGCTTCAAGGACCTAAACTGCTACTGGAAAACAGGAGCCACTGCACCTCTATCCCTGAGGTTCTGCAATTGTTGCACCATGCTCAACATGGTAGTGCATTGTTCCCCAGCAAAGTTCCTGCGGCTATCCCATACCTTGGTAACAAGCTGCCTAGGAAACACTCCATCTACCCATCCCAGTTGCTGCTGCATCCTGCCTTTGGCTACTTGGAGCACAGGCCCATCAGAACAGCTGAGACCCCAGCTCTTGAGCCCATGTGGTGTCCTATCCCTCAAGGAATGGACAGACCCAGTGGAAAAGCTACATTCAAGCTAGTGAAGCGGCCATGACCCCTCAGTGCCTCATCCAATCTGTTGCCCTGACCCCAGGGAAATGGATCTTTGGCCCATGGGAACAACCACAACCTTGATGCTTGAAGTAGCATAGCACCCATCCTCGCACAATACCCCCAAAGGAAAACATGACCTTGGCTGATCTGTGTCCCCACCCTCAGGACTGAATAGCCACAGCATCCACCTCTAAGGGTCTGGACCTACCCTTCAGAGTCCATGCTGCTAAGGCACCTCACTGTCACAGGGAGTGAAGGCAATGTTGCATTCCTTCCCATCTCAAAGAGCAAGCCACAACTGTGCTTCACCATTCCTGGTACATCACTGCCATTACATGGAGCTTCACAGAGCCTGTGCCACTGCTGTGTCCCATAGTCACCACTATATAGTAAGCTTTGTTCTGGTGCTCAAGTTTCCACTGTGCCCTATTGGCTTTGGAACCCAAATTGCAGATGTGCCCTGCTCCTCAAGGTCTGAGCCTCTGTAGCACTCCTTCCTGCCTGAAGCCATGCCAGTGCTGGGTCCTGACCCCAGCATCAGAGTCACAGTTATGTCCTTAAGCTACTGGAACGTTCCTCAGAGTCACAGTCTTGGCTCTGTGGGAGAATTGCATCCACTCATGCCTTAAAGAGTGAGCCTGTGTCCATATCACAGCAGTCTCAGTAGATCAACAAGACACTGAACCCTGGACCTGAGCTCCACAGCCACTTCAAGCACCTAAGGCCTGGAACAGTGCTGCCTTAGCTAAGTGTGCATCTTATCAGGTTCATCACAAAGGCAGAGTCCTTCGGCTAAGTCTCTTTCCATTGTGGAAAAACCTTGCCACCAAAGTTGTCACAAAATTCTGGACCCTAGGCTGCTGGGGCTTTCACATCATTGGAGACATTGATTAAAAAGTTGCACCAAGGCTACACTATTCCAGAGCACACACACCACCCAACAAACTCCCTGGGACCCAACTGCAGCTGAAATTCATTCCCTATGAAAGCCACTCTAAAACTGGAAGAAACAACTGTTGGGGCTGGGGATGTGGCTCAAGCAGTAGCGCGCTTGCCTGGCATGCGTGCGACCCGGGTTCGATCCTCAGCACCACATACCAACAACGATGTTGTGTCCGCTGAGAACTAAAAAATAAATATTAAAAAATTTCTCTCTCTCTCCTCTCTCACTCTCTCTTTAAAAAAAAAAAAGAAACAACTGTTTCACCAGATGTGCAGAAGTCATTACAGGAACACAAGCAACATGAAAGGAAAGAAGCATGACATTTTTATAGCAGTGTAAGCAGACTAAGATCCATCCTGTTTTCAAAGGAATAAAATAACTGACCCCAAAGGAATGGAATTTATGAATTGCCTGATAAATCAAAATAATGATTTTGAGGTAACTCAGCAAGGTACAAGAGAATACAGAAACAATTCAATGAAATCAAGAAAACAATTAATGATATGGATGAGACATTTGACAGAGATACATATCATTTTAAAAAATCTTTGAGGGCTGAGCCACTTGCCTGGCATGCGTGAGGCCCTGGGTTTGATCCTCAGCGTCACATACAAATTAATAAATAAAAGATCCCTTGACAATTAAAAAATATTTTTAAAAAATCTTTGAGCTGAAGAACTCAATGAATGAAATAAAATATTCAATTGAAACTTCAACAGCAGACTAGATCAAGCAGAAAAAAAAAAAAAGAATTTACCAACCTGAAGATAGGTCTTTGGAAATGTCAGGGGTAAAGAAAAAACAATGAGAAAAGAATGAAGAAATTATTCTATACTTCTTATAGCACACCAATAAGAGAACAAATTTTCACATTATGAGATTGTCAGAGGGAAGAGAAATGGAGAAAAGCACAGAAAACTTACTTAACAAAAAAAGAAACTGTAGAAGTTTTCTCAGGTCTTAGAAGAGATATGGATGTCTAGAAAAAGAAGGAAACTGTCAACCCAAAGATAAGTTACCTGAAAATACACAATCAGAGGAAGAGAAAAAGATCAGAGGAAAATGAAAGATAATGAAGATAGTTTATGGAATTTAAAGGACAGCAACCTAGGAACAAATATTTGAAATACAAGTGGTCCTAAAGGTGATGAGAGAGATAAAGGGCAAATTAGAAATAGTAGCAGAAAACTTTCAAATCTGGGGGAATATGTAAAATCCAGGTATTGGAATATTCTAGATCACTGATCAAATTCAACCCAAACGAGAATACACTGGGACATATTATAATCAAATTGTCAAAAATCAAAAACAAAAAGAGAGGATTCTGAAGACAGCCAAGACCCATCTTCAGGTTCAGAAATTCTTCTGCTTGATCTAGTCTGCTATTGAAGCTCTCATATAAGAGAGTTCCAATAAGGCTGGCAAAGGGCTACAAAAACCTTATAGACCAGGAGAAAATAGGATGGTATCTTAGCCTGTTTACGCTGCTATAACAACATATCTGAGACTGGATACAAATTGATTTTCACCAGAAATTTATTTCTGATAATTCTGGAGGCTAGAAGGCCAAGATCATGACACAAGTGTGTTCAGTCTGTGAGTACTGCTCTCTGCTTCCAAGATGGCACTGTGTTGCTGCATCCTTGCATGGAAGAGGACAAAAGGACAGGAAGCACCTTCATCCCATTTACGGGGGAGGTGTTCTCTTGACCAACCTACCTCCTAAATGGGCCACCTTTCAATACTGGTTGCATTGGAGATTAAGTTTCTGCATGAATTTTGGAGAGGAGACAAACATTCAAAACAAACTTCAGATAAAAACTGAGGGAAAATAGATATATGAGGTTGATGATATGCCAATTACCCTGATTTGATCATTGACTCTTATAAAAATATCCCACTGTATCTTATTAATACATACATTTATGTGTCAATTAAAATAAATATAGCAAGGTGCATTGGCTCACACTCACACCTGTGATCCCAGCTTCTTGGGAGGCTGAGTTAGAATAACTGCACATTTGAGGCCAGCCTGAGCAACTCATGGAGATTCTATCTCAAAATAAAATATAAAAAGGGCAGGGGGTATTGGTAAATGTTGGAGTGTTTGTCTAGTACATGCAAGGTCCTGATTCAATCCTCAGCACCTCAAAATAAGTAAATAAAAAAAATTTTTTAAAGAGAGAGTGATAGAGGGAGAGAGAGAGAGAGAGAGAGAGATTTTTTAATATTTATTTTTTAGTTATTGGTGGACACAACATCGTTGTTTGTATGTGGTGCTGAGGATCGAACCCAGGCCGCACGCACGCCAGACGAGCACGCTACCGCTTGAGCCACATCCCCAGCCCCTAAATAAAAAAATTTTAAAACTGGCAATTTGTTACCATCAGACCTGCCTTACAAGAAATGCTAAAGGAAGTTCTTCAAGCTGGAAGAAAAGAATGCTAACTAGTAACAGAAAAACATAGTGTAAAGCTCACTAGTAATAGTATATACACAGCCAAATTCAGAATACCCAAATACCAAAATGGTGGTATGTGAATCAGTTATTTTTTTAATATTTATTTTTTAGTTGTCTTTGGACACAATACCTTTATTTTATTTTTATGTGGTGCTGAGGATTGAACCCAGGGCTTTGCACGGGCTAGGCACCCACTCTACCACTGAGCCACAACCCTAGCCCTGCAAATCATTTATATCTTTAGTAAGAAGGTTAAAAGACAAAATATTAAAATAATAACACATATATAGTAATTTAAGAGATATGCAAAGATATAAATTGACATCAAACACCAATGTGTCTAGGGAGTGAAATAAAAATGTAGTGTTATACAAGCAACATTAAGTTATTTTCATCTTAAAATAGCCTTTTATAACTCAAGATGTTTCAAGTAAGCCTCATGGTAATCACAAAGTAAAAACCTGTAGTAGAAACACAAAATATGAAAAATAAAGAACCAAAGCATGTCATTAAATAAAGTAATACAAAGGAAGATGGAAAAAGAGACAGAAATGAACAAAGGATCTACCAAACAGCCAGAAAATAAACAATAGGCAGGAGCAAGTCCTTATGTATTAATAATTACATTGATTATAAATGGAATAAATTCCCTAATCAAAAGACATGAAGTGGGAACTGGGGTTGTGGCTCAGTAGTAGAGTGCTTGCCTTACGCATGTGATGCCCTGGGTTCGATCCTTAGCAACATGTAAAAATAAATAAACAATAAAGATATTGTGTCCATCTATAAATAAAAAAAAATAAAAAGACATGAAGTGGCTACAGTTTTTTTTAAAACCCAACAATATGCTTCCTATAAAAGATTCTGTTTAGTCCATTTTCTCTTGTCATAACAAAATACTTGAGACTGGGTAATTTATAAAGAAATGAGGTTTATTTAGCTCACCATTCTCTAGGCTGTGAAGTTTAAGATCAGATGTCTGTATCTGATGAGGTCTCGTGTGGTATAACAACATGGCAAGAAGAAAAAGCAGAAGGGTAAGCCAACATGTATAGAAGACAGAAAGAGGGTCTGAGTTCCCAGAATAGCTGTTTCCTATTTAAAAAAAATTATTGCACTGATGAGAGGTCTGTCCACATAACACAAACACCTCCCACCACACCCCACCTCCCAACAGTGCCTCAGTGAGAAATTAAGCCTCAACATAAATTTTGGTGGGGCAAACCATATTCAAACCATAGCAAACTAACTTTACCTTTAATATAGTTTGAAAGTGAAAAGATGGAAATGGAAATGAAAGAGCAGAAACAGCTATTCCTCTATCAGATACCAAAACTGTAAGTCAAAAACTGTAAAACCAGCCAGGAACAGTGGGCATGCCTGTAATCCCAGTGACTCAGGAGGGCCGAGGCAGGAGGCTTAAAAGTTCAAAGCCAGCCCCAGCGATTTAGCAAGACCCTGTCTCAAAATGAAAAACAAAACAGGCTAGGGATGTGGCTCAGTGGCTAAGTACCCCTTAGTTCAATCCCAGGTACCAAAAACAAAACTAAACTAAATTCAAATTAGACCAAGAAAATAATTATATAATGATAACTGGATAAATTCATGTAGAAGATATAACAATTATAGGTCTATGATAATCCGACATCAAAGCAACTAAATATGTAAAGCAAAATTAATAGTTCTGAAGAGGGAGGGATGGATGGACAAAGAAGAAGAAAGAATTCATCAATAGATGAACAGATAAAATGTGGATTTTCAATGAATGAACAGATAAAGAAAATGTGGATTATATCCACTATAGAACATTATTCAGCCTTAAAAGAAAGACATCCTATCATTTGCAGCACAGTGGACAAACCTGGAGGACATCATCTTAAGTGACACCAAATGACAATTGCCACATAATATCGCTTATATATGGAGTGTTAAAATATCAAATTCATAGAAACAGGGTAAAATAGTTTTTACTAGATGCTAGGAGGTGGTGGGACCAGGGAGATGTTGTCAAGGGACAAAAAATTTCAGTTTGACAGGAGGAATAAGTTCAGGAGATGTACTGTACTTCATGGTAATGACAGGAGCAATATATTCTATATTTGAACATTGCTAGAAAAGTATATTTTAAGTGTTATCACCATTAAAAAATACATAAGGTAACATGTTAAGTGGCTGGATTTTGCCATTCTGGAATATACATGTATCAAAACATTATGTTGTTTATATAAATTTATATAATTGTTATCGAAAGACTTGGTTATAGGGTTGGGGTTGTGGCTCAGTGGTGGAGTGCTTGCCTCTTATGTGTGAGACCTGGGGATCGATCTTCAGCACCACATAAAAAAATAAATAAAAATATATTAAAGACTTGGTTATAATTTGATGTACTAGTCTCTTTTCTGAAAGATTTTATTTTGAAAAAACCATGCCACACCAATTTAAATTTCTTAAAATGAGATCTCAACAACATAGATTACATCAAAGCACTACAAACATCTTGTATCGTTGCTAAGTATGATTAAAGATTCAGAGAAACTACATAAAACAAGGGAAAAAAGGGCTGCTTTCTATAACAGGAAAAAAGCATTTTAAAACTGACAGACTTACAAGAAAAGCAAAGACATCTTAATCATTGAGATACATATCATTATTTTTTATGGTCCCCATGTGAAAATGCTTAATGCTGTCAAGGTATGTCAGAAGTTTGCAGGAAATGAGCCCATAGTAAGTCTCAAACAGTGAGCATTCTTTCCCACCATTAATTTCCATCCACACCAGGGATATTTCAGCATCTTTAGTGTCAGAGGATGTAAAAATGAACTTATAGCAATATCTGTTGTATCTGATGTGTCTTTTTCCAGAAAATCTTGAACTGTGGATGGGTATAAGTCCAACGATCTTAGCACAAATCCCTACAAACACATCAGCAGGCACCATAATGGGTACTTCTTTGAAAACCACATATATCATCCAAGCCACATCTTGGGACATCACAAAAGCTTCACTGCTGCAGTAATCTGGGTAGTATTTTTGTGAATACTCACTAAGAGGAACAAAGTTTTGGCTACCAGGGTCTCTGTTGGGTGTATCCTGATGGACAACTTTTCCTACATAGATATTTTCAAGGTGTTCCTTTAGATTGAGAAGATAATCTACCAAGCTTGGCATATTGACAAACATCTCTTCATCAATTTTGAGAATGAATAGGGCATTAGAGCAGAATGTCACAGCCCACTGGGTCATTGTGATGATCTTCAGGGTTTGGTTCTCAAAACTGTCCAAGAAGATTCCTTCGATTATATCATTATTCTTATGGGATTCTTTGTCTATCTCTCTCTGAGTGGTTATGGTAACAGACATTCCCAAAGCAAACAGTGTGAGAATGGGGTGCCCTTGGACACTGCTCACATTACCCCAGGTTTTTCTGATGAGTTCCCGTCTTGTTCCATTTCCTGGGCTACTGAAGATAAAAGAGAGCAAAAAAAATGTTCTTCCCTTTGCAGATATCCGACTGGCTCAAGACATAGTATTTGGAAGGATTACTTCTTAGAGGTTCCATATTCAGTTTTCTTGCCTTCTCTTTAATTTCAAGAACTTTCATATCTACATGAGGCAAAGAATGCAGAAAATATTCTTCTACAAAGTCAGCCCCAAAAAGCAAGGCATGAAACAGTATGACATTAAACAGAATGAAGCACCACTGGTGAGTCCGAAGTCTGCAGAATGTCACCTGAATAAGAAAAGAATACAGGTCACTCAAGCTTCATCCCCATTCCTGGTTTGCTACCAGTGAACCCTGTAGGGACTTTTTTCATGGTATTGGGGATTGAATCCAGAGGCACTTTCCTCCTGAGCTACATCCCCAGCCCTTTATTTTATTCTATGTTCAATTTTGAGACAGGGTTGCTAGGTTGTTTAGGGCCTCACTAAGTTGTTGAGGCTGGCCTCCAACTTGCAGTTCTACCTTAGTCTCGAGTTGCTGGGATTACATGTGTTTGCACCACTGCACCCAGCTCTATGGATTTCTTATAGCACTTAGCAGTACACTCTACGATAAGTGTTTATTATTTATCACTGTTCTCTGACTGTTCTACTAGATTGTGGTCCCCTGGACAGCTCTCTCTTCTCCAGTGCTCTAAGTCCATGTTAGGCACAAATGAGACACAGAGTGAGATGTCACTTAGTTGTTCTCTTCCTTATTTGGATAAAAGCCTACTTATTAGACCAAGAAGCTGTGTTAGACGCTGGGGATTGCAAAGAAGAACCAGACACAGAAATGTGGATATTACATAACAAGTGGCATCATTGTGATTTAAAAAAAACCTATAGGAAAATATCTGATGTTCTTTCTTGAATGGAAGGACTTGGATCAGTTTCTTCTCTTAATTACAAAGGTCAAGGGCTATTTTTCCATGAAGTAGTTGCTTTTCTTGGCCATCACACAGTAATATTTATCAAACATTTACATTCTTCTACTATGACTTTCCAATTTAATCTAATTCTGAATTAGAGTCTGTTTTGACAGTGTCTCCTAATCCATCTGGTTTCTATCAGGATGGGTAGATTCCCACTATCTGCATGGCACCTCTTCAAAGGTTTAGGATGGACACGTGCCAAACTTACTTCACCTCAGTGAAGGAGATAAAAACTTTCCATCTGAAAAGGGAATCTGCAAAATTGTAATATAACTAAGGAACAGTAAAGGAATTGAATCTCTATTCATTGGAGCTTTGATCAACAAAACTTTCCATAATAATAGTTAGCTCTTACTGAGCACTTGTTGTGTTCCAGACATTGTGCTAAGCTTTTTACGTCTTAACTCATTTAGCCCCAGTAAATAGATAGATCATTTTAAAAATTAAGCTGAGTATCTGAACAGTTTAGTTATTTCCTCAAGAACACACAAGGGCTTGGGGTAATACCCATGATCTGAAATCAAATTTGTCAGATTCTAAAACTTACTCTTAATCATTGGAGAATCCTGAATCCTTTCTCTTCTAGCCCATGACCACTAAATAGAAAAACAAAACAAGAAAACAAAACAAACTTCGAAGAGCATAATCTGAACTCCCTTCCCTTTTCTCAGTGCAGATTTACACATAGAAAAAACTTCAACTTTTTCAGAGCCTATTTTTAACAGATATCAAATGTTTCAAAGATCATTGGAAACTTACCTGCATGTTGTTTGTGAACAATATTAGGGCTGTGGAAGTTACTGAGTCCAGATGCTGTGTGTCCAAATGTATCTCAGGATCACTCCAGTCTAACAGCAACTGCAGTAAAGTACTTTGCGCCTCAAACTTTAAGGATAAGGTTTCTTGCCAATCAACCTGAGCTTTTGTCCCAGAATACCTGCTGCCTGCATAGGAGAGTGAGTGCTGATCACGTTACGGGTAGAGTAAATCTAGGACAAAGAATAGAAAAAACAAACCTCTTCGAGTGCTTCCAGTCCTGTGTATCTCATGAAACTGACTCCTTGTCTCATGCTGAGTTCCTGGTTAAAAATCTTCAACATCACCTCTCCACAGCATCATTGACCAAGGAGAAATATTGTACAGTGGTTTCTTGAGTGCAACTCAAAAAACTAAACCTTAGGAATAATGCCCACTCCCTGGTATATGCACATATGCTAAAACTGTTTGAAACATTAAGGAATACTTGTCATCCCTACTGGATTCATTTGTGTTTCGTCACCAAGGAAACATCAAATAGTGTGATCTGGTGAATCTTTTTATTTATTTTTAGCACTGGAGATTGAACCGAGGGACACTTAACCACTGAGCCACATCCCCAGCCCTTTTTAGTATTTTATTTAGAGACAGGGTCTCACTGAGTTGCTTAGGGCTTCGTTAAGTTGCTGAGGCTGGCTTTGAACTCACAGTCCTCCTACCTCAGCCCCCCAAGTCTCTGGGATTACAGGTATGCTCCACCATATCCGGCTGGTCTGGCCAATCTTATTGAGAGAAAGATTCTGAATTGTTGGTATCGGCTATGCAAGAACTTTGCTAAATCATTTAAAAATTACCTCCCCTAGGAAGTTTATCTCCAAATAAAAAATATCATATAGCTCATTTTAGCCAAAATGAGGAAACTAAACATTTAATGTTTGCTATTTTCTTAGAGCATGTAGGAATTATCCTAAACACCATTTCTACTGGTAAGTTTATTTCAAGAAAAGAAATACCATTCAGCATATTTGCATGTTCCTGTCACAAACGCAGTTACATTGAGCACTGTGTTCTCATACCAGGCTGTATTTTATCTTTTTTTTTTTAACTACCTGACACAGGAGTTTTTGTAATTATTTGGCTAGGAATAGCTTCTAAAAGTTGGCTGTTTTTGATCAATTATCATGCATTCTTGGAAATTGTTACCACACGGGAAAATCTAACCTAAAAATTCAAATGAAAGGGAAGTTTTACATATATTAAATTTAATAATTAAATGGTTCTTTTAAGAATTTAATTAAATATGAATACCATTCTGCAATTTTCTTTTTCTTTTTTCAAAGTCATAAGTTTTGCTCCTCAATCTTCTCTGGGCTCAAATTTACAGAGTATGGATATTTTGTATGTGAGGGATTCAAATAAGATTATTTCTGGATGGGCTCCATTTGAAATTTTCAGTTTGATTTATCAAACTTCTACCTTAATGGCTTTGAGACTGCTGCAAAGAGATATTGGTGCTTGTTTTTCTTTTCTGACCTCCCTTTCCTAGAGGTTATTCAATTTGTATATCCATCTCTTGCTATATGTCTTTTAATGTTGTCACCAGTCACTGTCTGGCTTACAAGTCTGCAGTGGCTTCCTGTTGTCTACCACATATTGCTGCTCTCTTGTGCCCTGACAGTGAACACCCTACACTTTGCTTTCATCTCACATGATTTTTATTTCCYATGTCTCAAGTACTCTAAATGGTTTCAGGATGCTTGGAACTTTGGATATGTGGCTATATAAACTTAAATTAACTACAAATAAATAAATTTAAGAATGTCTTTCCTCAGTTACATTAGGCACTTTTCATGTGTTCAGTAGCTACAAGAGGTTAGTGACTGCTTTATTGAATAGCACCAAGAGAGGACATTTCCTTTATTTCTGAGGGTTCTCTTGGACAGTGCTGGTATAAAATGCATGTGAATGTATTTGCGCACATGTGCATGCCTGAGTGTACACCTGGGTGGGGATAACTTGTGCTCTGAAGTAGATTTGAGTTGAAATACAAAAAAAGGTGTTTAGAAGTTTGTAGCACTTGGAATAGTTTTAGTTCTTTTCCTTTTATTTTTTTAACAGAAGAAAAGTTTATTTGGGTCATGGTTTCAGAGATTCAGTCCATGGTTGGACGACTCCATTGCTCTGGGCCTGAGATGAGGTAGAACATCATGGTGGAAAGACGTGGCAGAGAAAAGCTGCCTGGTTCATGACAGCCAGGAAGCAGAGAGAACTTGAACTTGAGTAAAGAGATAGGGATAGTATAATCCCCAAGGCTTAAGTAGGCCACCCCTACCTGTCTACAGTGACCACACATTAATCTATTAAAATGATTAATCCACCATGGATTAATCCACTGATTAATTTACAGTTCTCATAATGTAATCATTTCACCTCTGAACATTACTGCATCGTCTTACATATGAGCTACCAAGGGACAGCTCATATCCTAATCATAACATCCTGGCCCTAGTCCCAAAAAGCTTATGCCCATATCACAATAAAAAATACATCTAGCCCATTTCCAAGAATACCCATAGTCTTATGAGTTCCAGAATTGCCCAAAAATCCAAGTCCAATATCTCATCTGAGACTCAAGGCAAACTCTTGACTGTGAACCTCTGTAGAGATCAAAACCAAGTTACATATGTATAATATATAATGGCACAGAGTAAACATTCCCATTCCAAAAGTGAGAAATAGGGACATAGGAAGAAGAGAAGGGGCCAAAGACCAAAACCCAGCTGGATGATCAAGTTCTGTGGCTCCATGTCCAGCATCTAGGGTACATGGCATTGTGATGTACTCTCCTAAGGGCTTGTGTAGCTTTGCCCCATGGCCTTGCTGATTGCAGCCCATGTGGCCTCTCTCTTGTTTCTGCTTCATTTATGCAGCTTTCCTCAGCAAATGTTTCAAGTTACTGACATCTCTTAATCTCAGGGGTCTCCACTATAGGTTGGCTTCCTTCTGACATCTTCATACATTGTCCTCTCAGGGGCTGTATGCAGAAATTCTGAACCTGCAACACTTTGCCCAGCCTTCCAGCCCCCTTTCTTTGAATCTCAGTGAAAGCCTCCATTACCCCCTAACTACAGTATCCTGAATTTCTGCAGAACCAGTGCCATGTGGATGACACCAAGGTCTGCTTCCATCTTAAGCAGTAGCCAGGCCTCCTGGGATCATAGCTAAAGCAGCTTGTGAATGCCTGAGCATGATGAAACAACTTCCTTGGCCCTCCATGCAAGCAGGGTGCCCTCATGGTCTCTGCTCAAATAAATTTTTACTTTTATACCCCTGAGCCTGTGATGGGTAGAGTCTTGATAATTCCTGAGATGCCCTCAAGCTATCTTTCTTATCATTTCTGTGCAGATTACTTAGCATCTCTTTAGTGGCTATAAGCTCTTCAATCACCACAACTTTCTTGGCCCTAGTTTTACATTCACTTTTCTGACCAAATTGCAAGTTTTTCAATTTTTTTTTTTTTGCTGGGTTGGGGGGTGAGTTGGGGGGGTGGGGATT